TTGGTCCTATTCCTGTGGTGATGGATGCTGTGGGTGGCTCATCTTCTGGATTCTTGGGGTTTAGCTCTGTGCAGTTTGTGCTGGAGGTTTACAACATTCTCGTGGACTATTTGTCCCAGTTCCATGTCATCTCCACTGAATGGACCACCAACAATGTGTCCTTCCAGTGGCTCTTGATGTTCGGGTCACCTTGAGGTGGCTCTCTTCACAGCGGCGTGGAGCCTATGCCTTCCATCCTATGGGAAGCTGTTCCCCAGTTGCAAGGCTCACAGTATATGCTCTCTAGCTGAATTGGTCAACATGGGGTGCATTTATTTTTTCCCTCACTGTTCAGCTTTTACTCCAGGCTCTTTCTAAACTAGTTCTCAGGGAGGGTGATCCTTCTGGCTCCTTGGTGGCCTGCTCAGCCTTCCAGCTCTTCTAGCACGGTATTTGAACCTGGGCATTTTTCTGTGGCTGTCTCAGGGAATTGGTCTGGCAATACTCCTTACTGATTTGACCTCTGTATCTGGACTTTCTGAGGCAGGTACAGTATATTGCCATTTTTATGGCCCACAGGTGGCAGAGTTGTTAATGTCTCACCTGCGTGTCTTCCAAGCAGCAGTATGACATAGATGGAAAGAGGTGAAACGAGCACCAAGCTAACTGCTGTCGTCCTTCAATTTCATTTTATGTGGCATTTTTTTGTGTTATTTTTTGATAGACATTTCAATCCCAATACTGAGCTGCTTATTGTGCGCTGCTGGTGGAGCTGCTACTGTTGCCTTTTAGCATTTATTCTTCCTTGGTTGTTACATAAGGTTTCTTGAGTTTCCTTTTCAGTTCACTCGTAAAGCTGTCTTGGCTCCTGGATAGGATCCTAGATCTTCTCTTTACCTAGGTTCACATCTTCCCCTTTAATCCAAGATTCCTTTTTTAAGGTGGTGTTTTTGCTGGCTCTTGCCTCCAGATGTCAGGTTGATGAGCTTCTTGCTCTTTTTCAAAGTTCTGTATTTTTTGGCCTGGTTGGCATTTTCATCATTTGCAACAGTCTTCTCCTGTTCTGGTGAAGTATGAGTCATTGAGCTTCCAGAGAGGTCCTTTAGTTATTGATACTTGGTTGATTCCACTGGGGGTTGTATAATGTGTTGTCTGGTGGCAGCGATTCGTCATTACCCGTGGCCTGATCGAGGACCGGGCCACGGGGACGCTAAGCCCCGAAATCATTTCAAGATAATCTCAAGATACCTGTGTGCCACCGCCTCAGCTTCTGTGGATGCTGTTTGGATAGATCCAGTCTCCTTAGTCTCTGTTCCAAGGCTTGTTTCTGTTTCTCAGGCTGTCCGCAGTGTCAAGGCTAGCAAACCTGCTGTCTATCCCCGAACCCATGAATAGAACCAGTGAAGAGCAGAGGTGCCATAGGCACAATCAGAGAACACTGTATAAACATCAGAGGTCCACGGTTGTTCAACACTCTCCCAGCGAGCATAAGAAATATTGCCGGAACAACCGTGGACATTTTCAAGAGGAAACTAGATTGTTTCCTCCAAGGAGTGCCGGACCAACCGGGCTGTGGTGGTTATGTGGGCCTGCGGACCACTCCAAGCAACAGCCTGGTGGACCAAACTCTTACAAGTCAAGTCTGGCCTTGGGCTGGGCTTGGGAAGAACAACTATTTCCAGAACCCCATCAACCAGGTATCACAAATATGCTGTACTTTCGGCAGTCTTCTCCAATATGTCCTGGGGCAGATATTCGGGCTTGGGGGTTTTGGAGGACTAACAGGGTCATGGTGGCCAGGTGTTTAGTCAATGTCCCTGGTCCTCTTTAGTCCTGTGTTGCCCTGAGTCATGTTTCCTGGACATTGGTCTCTGCTTTGACTTCATACCTCCTGCCCCTCTTGTTATTCAGCTGCAAGGAGCCACCATGGGGCTCCCCCCAGAAACCCAGCATTGAATATAATGAAATGCCTCTTTCTGGTAGAGTTCTGTGGCTCCCTCCCTTCCATGTTGTGGTATTTATCTGCTATTGAACCAATCTGATTACTGATGCTGGACTTTACACCGGGCCGCCTGGTGCCAGCATTCGGTACTACTGGATTCTAGCTAGTTGTGCGTTTCTATTGTATTATTTGGGAGTTATTTGGCATTTTAGTTTTTGGGTGGTTTTGTGAACCCAGCTGTTGTCTGTAAAGCTTTGCCAACTTTCTGAGTGCTTTCCCAGTGAAATGGCAGAATGACACTTGCCACCTACACCTCATGCCAAGAAGTCAGGTTTTGGCTGTGATCCGTGGTAGGCCATATGAACAAAGACTGGTAGATTGGAGTAATCTCTGAGATAGCTACAGAGAGCCACGGGGGGCTCTACCAGAAAGAGGCATTTTATTACATTAATGCTGGGTTTTTGGAATATATTTTTGCATCATAGGACCTATAAACATGACTGGTGAGTTTACAAATGTGCTGTATACAATACACTTGTGGTAGGAAAGGGGGTGGGACTTCTTAGTGTTTATATTGAGAGTGGAGAAAAAAGTGACTTTAAAAGGTATCTGGAACACATCCATATATGTATATATAGGGTTTGGTTATTCAGAATGGGGAAAACCTAAATCTTACACAAGGCGATTCAACAAAGCTCATTTTCTGTTTAAAATTGTAAATCGTTAGGTTAGGTTCATTTGGGTTAGGTATTTTTTTTTTAAATATTGGTGAACCATCTTGTGGAGAACATGATTTGTATTCATGTTTTTCCCCGTACTGAATAAGTTGACTTTGCACTAAATCACACAACCTTTCCCAGAAAAGCATCCCTTGTGCATACCTAGTGCTGACTGTACAAGGTTTGGGCATCTTTTTAAAAGAATTATATGTACAAGCATTATCATTTAATTTTTAAGCAGAAAAAGAAATTTATACACTGGCTGCTGAAGACAAGATTAAGTAATCTCGGATAATCAAAGGAAAATGAGAATACATCTATTTCTATGAATTAAGTTATGCACATCATAAGAAATACAATAATTTCATACTGTTTGTACAACTGAATTCCTATGATTATATCATGAAAATGCCATTATTAAGGTACTGTACACAATTTTGCATTAAAACAATGCTGACTAGAAAATTAGTCATCTTAAAGTTATATTTAAGATAATAAAGAAACAGTTATTTGTAGTGTCAGTTAAATATGTACAGTTTAACAAAATGTATCGATATATAATTTTAATCCTTTTTCTAACATTATAACACTTCCCTCTCTTATAAAACTTTAACCAGTCTCCGTGGTGTAGGGGTAAGACACTCGCCTGCCGTTCCGCGAGCGCTTTGTCATGGGTTCGTATCCTGGCCGGGGAGGATTTACTGGGTGCAAATCCTTAACTGTAGCCTCTGTTTAACTCGAGAGTAAAATAGGTACTTTGTTGTAAAAACGATTCTTCGCGGCGGGGATCGTATTCCAGGGACCTGCCCGAAACGCTACGCGTACTAGTGGCTCTACAAGAATGTAACAACTCTTGTATATATCTCAAAAAAACATTGGCAGCAAGATGGACGATTCAGAATGTTTCCTGTATATTGTAGGTAAGGTTCATCAGCTCACTATAATGTTGAAGATCTAACAGCAATGCTCAAAATGTTTACCAACATAGTCATCATACTGATTTTACATCATTAAACAATGAAACAATGTTTGAATAGGTTGAAAGTAAATAGTTGCCTCAGTATGAGGAAACAAAAATATTAATTTTAGTTTATAAAAAATATTGTCAAAGCAAGCCATATTAAGAACAAATATACATATAGTTTCAATGTACCAAGTAATGAAATACTTAATGGTATACTACTTGATTACATTAGTGTCTTGAGATGTATCTTATCTTTAACTAAAAATGGTATTCTGCAATGTATCAAAATGGTCACTTGTGTGACCATTTCCATACACAAGTTGTACCTGATAGCCAGAGTTCCCAACAAACCAAATTTTTGTAGTTTATCAAAAGTTCTTATAAAACGTGTTCCATTGTAGTAATTTCTTTTTTATAGTAAAAACATAGAAATCTAATTTAACAATACAAATTACATTTTTCCATACTACCAAACAGGATAAATTAGACCTAAGTTAGAAATTCATGTTGGTCATAATATTGGGGAGGGCACCCAGCATTGCTCGGGTGACTGACTCTGCGTCGTCATCACTATAACCATCTTCACTACCAAGGCATTGCTAAGTAACCCCCCCTCCTCCATCTACACAACCTTCTCTCCATTACCACCTTCTTGAGGTTATCTTGAGATGATTTCGGGGCTTTAGTGTCCCCGCGGCCCGGTCCTCGACCAGGCCTCCACCCCCAGGAAGCAGCCCGTGACAGCTGACTAACACCCAGGTACCTATTTTACTGCTAGGTAACAGGGGCATAGGGTGAAAGAAACTCTGCCCATTGTTTCTCGCCGGCGCCTGGGATCGAACCCAGGACCACAGGATCACAAGCCCAGCGTGCTGTCCGCTCGGCGGACCGGCTCCCTAACTTTCATACCTCTATTCTTCATCACTTTCCCTCCATTCCTGTAACTATTTTCTATCAATAAATTGCATATGAGAAACTAACATTTAATATGCTAGATGAATCTTGGTGAGGATGAAGTATTTTATTTAGATTGGAAAGTAGTTAAATTTTGCCATTTCATGCAAAGGGGAAGCATTGGGTTCAACCACAAACTGCCTATGGCCATTCCCAGACAAAGGCCTGTCGCCCTGTAAAGTTTGGCGAGATACTAGCCCCAAGCATCTTTTAGGGATACTGATTATTTGGGAGGTAACTAGCTTTGAATTAAATAATGAAAAATAAGCAAAATTGCTTTGTCTTTTAGCAAAATAGGTCTTGCTCACAAGGCTAAGTGGTGTAGTGCTGGCTATTAAGTACAACATACATTTATATATTACATATACAGTACAGTATAATTATAAAAATATGATTTTTTTACATGGTGTATGTAAATTTAGCTGTCAAATGACTTATGTAAGTTTAAACTCAAATTTTAATTTACAAACAAATAATTTAGAGCAAATTTGATATAAAAAGGAAGCAGGTAAATTAAAATACTGTATTATTAAACAAAAAGAAAGATGCTAAACAAACTAAGGAAGTTAAACACAAGTTTACAGGAAACATGAGAACAAAAAAGTCTAATTTATGTAAAATAATGAGGCCTTGAGAGTTTACTCCATAAGGATGAAAATAGTCATACTATTGAGAAAAATCCAAAACTGTATAATCAGAAGATAATCATACAAAGCTTTAGTGCCACTGTTTCAAAATTAAACTTAAATTGCAATTAAATGTAGAGCAAAGCCAGTTTGGCAATGCAAATCCAAAATTACTCAAAATAACTTATATAACCAACAAGATGAACATATTGCAGCAAAGATTTACTAATACACAAGAAATTTGATTTGCTGAGAATTTTAACCAATGACATTTGATTTAAAAGAACTGCTGGATAGCCAATTAAAAGCCTTTAAATAACTTAGATCATTTCATTTAGCTATGTTTCATAAATCATTCTACATATGCATTTTAAAATTATTTTACATTACCCTTATGTCGAAAAGAGTGCAAGACAGAATTAATTGGCAGAATGGTTTTTGCTTTGTTTCTTTGATGAATGTTTCTAGTACAGTATGTTAGGCAGACATGGGCGGTTGGTTACCAGCACTGTTGAGCGATGCTGTGCTAGCTTCGGAGGGGAGCGAGGAGCCGGGGTAGGAGGGATCTGCTATAAATCAGAACAAAAAGTTATTAATTTTTTAAAATTTACATTGGTACACTACTGGAAAATATTTTACCATGTTATAACTTTTAATGTACACGTGCATAAAACACAGATCAATCTCATAACGTGAATAACTCTCTTATAAATAAATAAGCAGGGTGTGTAGGGTGTACTGTCCTTGCATAAACAGTTACTGATGTCACTCAAACACTGAGTATTAAACTTAATACTATACATTAAAGACGGTTTAGAATGGACCCAAACTTTGTCATATTTCCCAATGGTACAAGTTGAATCAAAATATTGTCAAGGTTTACTTTTTATAACGTTTAAAAGTTTAGTTGTCAAGTTGTTCCAAGCAAGGTAGAGTTTGGTTTTCAAAACACTCCAACCTAAACCTTTCTATCAAACTCGAACAATAATGCACATTTCATGTGTTAAAAATGTTCTCGCCAAGTTTGGTCTGGCTAGTTACTCCATAGTTAGCAGGGAGCCACTGGGAGGCTCCTTCCTCACCCACCATTGAATGTAATGAAATGCCTCTTTCTGGTAGTGCCTCGGTGGCTCCTAAATTCCCACCCTTCCCTCCAGGTTCATCAGTAGTTTTCATCAGCTCCAGAACTGACCATTTTATTTGACTCATTTGCATTATCATTTGGTTTCGTTTTCTGTTACCCTTCCAGTTGTCTGTAAAGTTTCACCCAACTTTCTGGATGATTTCACAGTGGGGTGGCACATTGTCACTTGCTCTCTGCACCTCTGTGAGGTGATAAATCAGGTTCTGGCTCTGATTCCAGGTAGGACAAACAGAACTCCTGTGATGTGACCCATTAGATCGAGCAATTGCAGCGGGATAACATCAGGGAGCCACCTGGGCTCTACCAGAAAGAGGCATTTCATTACACCTAATGCTGTATTTTAAATACAATTTATTAAACAGACATGAAACTAGTCTGAACATGACATAACTAATCCATTACCATCCATAAACAAGCCGAGAGTATCTTAAAGGAACAGGAAGCCAAGTCCTCAACTCTCGCTACCACACTATAAATACTGACTTCATTCACCCATGATGGTAAGACAACAGAACAGATGGAGGAGAGGGATAGGGAGAGTCCTACATAGAGATGATCGCTCATGCATGGAGGGAAATCAGTGGTGAATTGAGACACAAGGGAAACCATAAGTAAGCTACAGTTGGAATAAAGTGCAGTGCAGGAGATTTAAAAAAAAACAAAAAAACTCAGACTTGGGGGGGGAGGGGGGGGGCCCTCTTAACCAACCCACAGGTGAGTACAGGTAGCAGGGAATATAGCAATGGTAGGCCCCCCCCCCCAATGGGTGCTACCTTTGCTGAAAAGCTGAGGAAGAGCCTAGAAGCTGTGTCCACAGTCAAGAAGTTACAATGAAAGCAGTAACTTCACAGGAGGCAGCAAGATGCACAAGTCGGCAAATGGAAAGGAGAAGAGCTGTAATCGTAGGTATTAAGGAACGAGAAGGTTCCAGGCAGGAAGAGTGGAAGGCCAAGGACAAAGCTGCAGTGTCAGGAATACTGAAAGATATACAAATTGAAGGGGCTGAGCAATGCATAGAAAGTTTTCCAGCTTGGCCAGTACAACAAAGATAAAAATCAATTGATAAAGGTAGAATTCAGGAACGAGGCCACAAAAGGAGGACATTCTAGTAAAGAAGAGCAAACTGCAATATGTAAGGAAGTAGAGGTATTCCTTCGAAGGGACATGACCAGGGACGAGACAATGCAGGCAGCAGATGCAAGAAAAGTGCAGGGAGCCAGGAAACCTCAGCCTCCAACCCAACAATCCCAGAGGGGGAGTGTGGAACCTCAAACCAGCAATTCAGGAACACCAGAGGGGACTGCAACACCCCCACATGCCTGCCCGTTGGCAGGGTTGTTGGTCTTCTGTTACTGGTAACAAACTGCATACTCTTAAGAGTAGTGTGTCCCTGTGGCCTTCTTCCTACCACCGTAACCAGTGGTGGGAAACGGCTCTGGCAAGGTTGCGTATTGGCCATACACGCTTAATTCACGGACACTTAATGGAGCACCATCCTGCTCCTTATTGCCCTAACTGCATTGTCCCTCTTACAATTGTGCATATCCTTGTTGAATGTCCTGACTTCCGGGACGAGCGTGTGTCTTGCTTTCTGACTGTCCCCCACGGTCACTTGTCCCTCGATAGAATTCTTGGTGAATCGGATACTTTTGATATCGTTCGCCTTAGGTGTTTGTTCTCTTATTGGCATCCTCGGTGATATTTAGTGCCTTCTGATTATCCCACACATATGATGGTGCTACATACCCTTCCTGCCTTGGTACCTTCTTTGATTATTATTGTAGGACAAGTAATTAATTTAAAAGTATAACCTTTATGATATATTCCAAACATTCCTGCACGACTTTTGAGACCAAAACATTTGGCATGGAAAACATAATTAAACCCTGTTGCTCTGAATGTGACAATATGCAACTGTACAGTACAGTTCTTTCTGGAGCATTATTAAACAATGTAGCATACATCATGATAAAACTTAAAAAGTGTCAAGACTGAATGAGTCTGTAAAAGTGATTAAATTAGAGTATTGTTGTTAAAACAATTATGAGACAAAATTAAGCAAAACTAACATTTTACACACTGCATTTAAGTTCAATATGCACAACTTTAAACAGAGTACAAGTAAAAGCACTGAAGGTTATATAAAATAAAATAGTAGTGTGGGGCAGCAATTAGTTCAGGCGTGGGACATGCAAACAGCTACATGCAACGTTGAGGAAGCAAGGCAGCTAGGATGACCGCATACCTGGCGGTGTGCGATCTGTACCCCTGGCAGCAGGACCACGGGGAATATCGCCCCGTCTTCCCCCCTTCAGCCGTGGCACCGACTTTGAGCGAGTATTACCTCGACCACCACTGCAACATGCCATGGTCAAGTAACCATGCTTGCCAGAAAAGAATGACTCCTCCACATATCAACACTTAAGTATTATTGAACCTTATAGAAAGTCACAACAGGAGAGAGTTGAACAATCCATCTTTATTTGGAGTCACACTTTATATGGCAAGCCATGAAGGAGAGAATTTGTTTAATGTAAAACTTCTGCATCACACTAATTTTATTAGAAGAGTTTAGCAGAACTACTTTACAAGATTATAACATGCAAGTCTATTTGAAATATCTACTTGTAGCCTACCATTCAGAAAACATTATTATATATATATATAGGGAAGACAATACCAACATTGGATGGTTTTAAGGATTATTTGCTTTCTTGATCATAATTTATCAATTACTAATGAATTTCGTCAACAACTATTGACACAGAAATGACATTATAGAATGTTAACCAATTTGCAACAAGAGCATATATTGTAATCAATGATGCTTCAGTAGACTTATATTCCAGCCAATATTTGGTCCAAAGTACAAATATGTATTGTTGGACCAACAAATGGTTCACATTCTGTATAACTAAATCAGCCCAAATAGCATTCTTTAAAATAAATCTAACCTAACGTCTTAACAATCCTAGGCCTAATACAGTACATACAGGTCTAGGGATGTTTCAGTTTACATTTAAGCTTCCCTTTCTTGGACTATAAAAGTACAAAATGTGAACATTGTGGTGGTCCATCGCTAAATATTGGTACCGTGGTCCAAAGAACTATTAATTTAGGACGATGGGTTGTATATCCATACATGGATGGTTGTGTCATATGGATGGTCGTATGACCATACATGGATGGCCATATGCAAAAACAAATTAATATATACTGCATTATATACTACATTTGACCAATGTGCTGCAGTTTAACTATGAACTAAATTCTACATGTGATTAAGTCAATATACAAAGTACTGTATATAGTTCATATAAAATATAGTTCAACAGAGCACACAAGTGCTCTGTTGAACTATATTTGCAAAACAATGTGTGAACCTCCACTAATATTGAGACAGCAGGGTCTACATTAATTACTGCAGATGACTGAATTGCCAAAATGTCATGGAATAATCAGTATAAAATCTTTTACTTTCACATTAATGACTAAAAAATTGAAGTAGGAGAGTGCCTGCATATTGTTGTTACAACAAAGGCGAAAGTTCCCCAAACTGTGGCTACTTATTGCATCTTTGTTAACTAAGAAAGTTGTTCCCCAAACTGATGCCACATATAGCACTATCTACAACACTGCAGAACATTCTACAATTCCAATGTATATGTGCACTGAACCTTCACTAAACTGTCATGCAGTGAGATGTATCTTAACTGTCTTTTAACCAAAAGTGTCATCCAACTGCATTAATACATGCAGTGCCAAACTGCATGCCAAGAAATAATTTTGGCTTTGAGGATATACCGGGTGAAAACTATTTTTCACTGCAGTACAATGTTGCCTACTGAGCCAAGATCCTACAGACATCTGGTTAGGATACGGCTCAAGGATGCAAGTAATTACCAAAACAAGACACAAAGCCAGGAAACTAATCAGTTTGCATCACAGAATATTAAATTTCAAATCTTTTGTGATGTCAATAACATAACTAAAAACCAAAGGCTATCAAAGTTAAAGTATCGGATTCACTGAAAATGTTATCGGAGGACATGTGACAGGAACACTAGGAAAGCAAAATTTCATATCCTGAAAATGAGGACATTGTAGGTGGTGATTCCCCTCTGCTAGCTGGGGTGTATTCCGTCGCAGATTGTAGTCACTATACAGTACCCTGGTGCGGCTGGCACCTCTATACAGTACCCTGGTGCAGCTGGGAGGTCTATACAGTACCCTGGTGCGGCTGGCACCTCTATACAGTACCCTGGTGCGGCTGGCACCTCTATACAGTACCCTGGTGCAGCTGGGAGGTCTATACAGTACCCTGGTGTAGCTGGCAGGTCTATACAGTACCCTGGTGTAGCTGGGAGGTCTATACAGTACCCTGGTGCAGCTGGGAGGTCTATAACAGTACCCTGGTGCAGCTGGCAGCTCTATAACAGTACCCTGTTATACCTGGCAGGTCTATACAGCAGCCTGGTGTAGCTGGCAGGTCTATAACAGTACCCTGGTGTAGCTGGCAGGTCTATAACAGTACCCTGGTGTAGCTGGCAGGTCTATAACAGTACCCTGGTGTAGCTGGCAGGTCTATAACAGTACCCTGGTGCAGCTGGCAGCTCTATAACAGTACCCTAGTGCAGCTGGCAGCTCTATAACAGTACCCTGTTATACCTGGCAGGTCTATACAGCAGCCTGGTGTAGCTGGCAGGTCTATACACCATCCTGGTGCTGCTGGCAGGTCTCTACAGTACCCTGGTGTAGTTGGCAGGTCTATACAGTACCCTGGTGTAGTTGGCAGGTCTATACAGTACCCTGGTGTAGTTGGCAGGTCTATACAGTACCCTGGTGTAGTTGGCAGGTCTATACAGTACCCTGGTGCAGCTGGCAGCTCTATAACAGCACCCTGGTGAAGCTGGCAGCTCTATAAACTACCCTGGCGCAGGATCTTCAGACCCGTGTGGTCTGAAGATCTGAAGATCAGACCCGAGTGGCAGTTCAGGGGGCGGTTAGCTGGCCAGATACCCGTGTCAGACCATATATTTCCTATTTGCTAATTAACATACAGTATATTAACACTAATTTATACCTTAATTAACAGGGCAGTACGCTTCCCTTAAGGGAACACACACATTTCCTGGTTTGCCTTTCCATATATTTATATAATTCTGGATTTCCTGTTTATTTCCTTCTTAATTTCTATATTCACATGGTTGCTATGGCAACCCTATATATTTTGACCCTGTAAATAGTTCACAATGGAGGAAAGTAACTTGTTCTATACCGGCGCGATAGGTGAACTAGGATGTAATCAATGTACATCATTGATATACACATCAGCATCAATTACAAGCACATCATTGATACACATCAACGACAATGCAACATTCAATCCGTTCTCGCACTTGCTTATAGTCAATATTGGCTTATTTAATAAGTGCATGTGTGACATACTAATTGATTGTGAATATTTTAGTTTACCTTGAAAAGCTTCATAGAAAACATCGACCTCACCTAACCTTCTTAGTCAATTAGTATGTCACATATGTACTTATTAAATAAGCCAATATTGACTGTAAGAAAGTGCGAGAACGAGTTGTAACATTACATCGTCGTGTGTACCTAAATTTGGCCAGGTGGGTCTTGTGTCTCCTCGAATCCTTCTTAGGAAATGTAGATGTTTATCTCTCAGAATGTTGGGTAATGTTTATTGTTTGTGATGTGTGTCTATGTATGTATTAACACGATGTACTGAACGGGGTGAGAATAGCTTGAGCTACCTCATCCCTTTGTGTGTATTTTACCTCAATAAACTTATTTCAATTTCAATTTTCGAATCCTTCAAACATCATTGGCTTTACACATTCTGCGCCATTATCTAAAATGTTCACCCAGCAGTAATTGGGTACCTTAACAGAGTGGCACATGCAGGGTTCCAGTGAAATCTAGTGAGCAAGGTTTACCATGATATATAGGAAGGTAAACTTCTCTGGAGTCGTCTACTCTTGTACCCACTTGGGTATAAAAAAGGGGAGATGGGGAGTGGCCATCGAGGATGACTGCTAATATTTCAAAAGAACATAAGAACAAAGGTAACTGCAGAAGGCCTATTGGCCCATACGAGGCAGCTCCTATCTATAACCACCCAATCCCACTCATATACATGTCCAACCCGCGCTTGAAACAATCGAGGGACCCCACCTCCATCACGTTACGCGGCAATTGGTTCCACAAATCAACAACCCTGTTCAGTAAACACCTACACGTGATTGTCTATGGCGCCATTGTCAAAGAAAAATATAAATTGGTATTGAAGGCTTCACTAGGGCATGCTCACGTAAATAACAGTCTACGGGACAAACAAAAGGAGTATTTGTTATCGTTATGTACGATCATGCCTTCTGAGATAGCAGAGATGACAGAGGCTGGTGGCGGTACGAGACCTTGCATGCTAAGTTATGCCTTGGTTGCACTAAGCACAATAATGCATCCTTAAGTGGTGCTGTGTTAGAGAGAGGGAAGGGAGCTGGGGGAGAGAGGGAGGTGGAGGAGAGAGAGAGGGGGTGAAGGAGAGAGAGGGGGTGGAGGAGAGAGAGGTGGAGAGGAAAGAGCAGTCAACTGTGATACGATATATTGCATAATTCAGGCCTTGAGTGCAATGATGGAAGGTGTAAATAAAAGTTATTGTAGTTTATGTCTTCAGGACTACAAAAGCACGAGCAGTGTGAAGTCTGATGTATCCACCAAATCTACCCATTCATCTACTAGCCACAACCCTTAGTTCAAACAGCCATCAGCTAAGGCGTTAAACTCCTGCCCAAAAGAAAATAACGACCAGACTAATATATAATAATTATGCCTATGTGTTCCATTTCTAAATCGTAACTAGGATCTACAGCAGCAGAAATACAAGTTTATCAACATGTCTCTACGTAATTAACTGCCTCCCTGAAACTAAACATCTTGGTAACTGGAGGCCTGGTCGACGACCGGGCCAAGGGGACACTAAGCCCCGGAAGCACCTCAAGGTAACCTCAAGGTAAGGTAACTAAGTATTCATGCACGAGAGGACTAGGTACTGTGTGGCACTAATCTAGTGACCATACCTTTTTCCAGCGACAACTCCCGCTGGTGACAGGTTCTTGCTCTTCATTGGCGCTCTTCTTGTAAGTATGACACCGGTGTCAGTCTTCCCGTCTGAGATGGCCTGCTTCCCTCCGCTGTTCCCACCACCACCTCCTCCAGACGCCGATAAGTCAGTCATGCTGCACCAATAATACAGGCGATGAGTCACAAGAACGTGGCTGAAGTGTGTTGACCAGACCACACACTAGAAGGTGAAGGGATGACGACGTTTCGGTCCGTCCTGGACCATTCTCAAGTCGATTGTCGACTTGACTTGACCACAATTGACTTGAGAATGATCCAGGACGGACCGAAACGTCGTCGTCCCTTCACCTTCTAGTGTGGTCTGGTCAACGCCAATAATACATTTACCACATAGAAATTAAGACAATTACGGTCCGTCATACATATATATAATCAGGAGCTGCGTCGTATGGGCTAATAGGCCTTCTGCAGTTACCTTCATTCTTATGTTCTTATGCCTTGAATCCTAATCAAGTCGTGACATTTACTATACGAGCATTCAAAAACATTTCCATGGTGCTACAAATATTTTCATATATAACCCATCATAATAACAGAACAAAACAGATTTATTCGGTAATCCCAGGATCATGCTGCCAGAGGTCAGCTAATTCACATACTTCCCGACTAGATGCCAGCAACTAATCCAGAGATTCGGATAAATGAGATTATACTTGCAGTTGGTAAGCAAACTACTGTATCGTATCACCTTTTGCCGATTCTCCTCTTCTCGAGCTCCTTGTTAATAGAGTCCGGGAGACGGTTTGAACGCTGTGAAGACTGCGACGTACTCTCCCGCCCTCTGCTGCTTGGCGCTGAACCGCTCTCCTGGTCAACATCAATTTTGTTCAATCATGCATCAACATTTCAAAGAATTCTGTCTACTGTAATTCATTAACTCATTAACTGTCTACTGTAATTCATTAAATGCATCATCATTTCCCTATGTATTAGTATGCGGAAAAACCACATGTGGAAAACAGAGAATGCTAAGCGCGTTTTCGGCTTAACTCGCCTTCATCAGAGCAAAGTAGAATTAGTATTATATATGCCTCTGAGGAGTGAGGCGCTGCCTTACCTTAGCACTGGTGTCGTTCAGAGGATTGATCCACACGTCTGACGAAGACGACGAGGGTAAGGAACGAGATCTGAAGGAAGCTGTCTTGGAGGACTTTGTACTGCCCCGGCTGAAGGGCTGCGTAGTCCCCGCCAGGTCCTCCTCACCAGGGGGTGGCTGCCCCCCTCCACTGAAAACACAATGTCATATTTACACACTTTACTCATGTAAATAAAAATAATAATAATATTAATAATAATAATAATAATATACAAGGACTTGTGTGATATGGTACACCAATATACAAGGACTTGTACACCAATGGTACACTAATATACAAGGACTTGGGTGATACGGTACACCAATACACAAGGACTTCTATGATACGGTACACCAATATACAAGGACTTGTGAAATACGGTACACCAATATACAAGGACTTGAGTAATACGGTACACCAATATACAAGGACTTGTGAAATACGGTACACCAATATACAAGGACTTGAGTAATACGGTACACCAATATACAAGGACTTGAGTAATACGGTACACCAATATACGCGCAAAATAGAGACGATTTGGGATAGAATCCTTGATTTCACCTTTTGTTACATTTAATAACTACAAAACCGGTGACCACACTCCCAGTAACTACATGTGACTACATTCCCGGTACCTACAGGTGACCACACACTCTAGGATCCAGATTCACAAAGCAGTTACGCAAGCACTTACGAACGTGTACATCTTTCCTCAATTTTTGACGGCTTTGATTACATTTATTAAACAGTTTACAAGCATGAAAACTTGCCAATCAACTGTTGTTATTGTTATAAACAGCCTCCTGGTGCTTCCGAGCTCATTAACTGTTTAATAATTGTAAACAAAGCCGCCAAAGATTGAGAAAAGATGGACAGGTTCGTAAGTGCTTGCGTAACTGCTTCGTGAATCTGGCCCCTGGTTTTTACACAGGTAAGTTATCACACCTGTCTGCCGTAAACAAGTCTTCCCTGTCCTCATTAGGCTCAGAACTCGGGCCACTGGAATGAAAATATATTATTGTTTACATAGAGTTGTGTTTAAACTCTTGAAACATCACCTTTGCAATTCTAATTCATTTGTTTACTTTTATGTCAAACATCTACATGCTCTCGATCTACGTAAATTATTATTTTGCATATTTTGTAATTGGAAAATTGTGTAAATTTTAGTTATTGTTTTAGTGACATCTGATTGTAGTGATGTCAGTGATGTCCATTTTCACATTCCTTGTGACCTCAAACGTCAATCTGCCACTGAGGAGTTCCTCAGGGCTCAATTATATGACCTATTTATTAATTGTAATTATTAAAGATATCATTGGTTGATAAGTTAGAATAAACAGCATAACTTCACAAGAAAGATTATTGTAATATTAATATTGGTTGGATGTAATCGGTTTGTGGTTTATGCAAGTTATATATATAATATATATAATACATAATAACGTAGTCCTAGCCAACATACAGCCAGTCCCCGTGGGGTAGTGGTTCGACACTCGCCTGGCGTTTCGCCAGCGAGTATCCAGGGTTCGTATCCTTACCAGGGAGCATTTACTAGGCACAAATCCATAACTGTAGCCTCTGTTTACCCAACAGTAAAATGGGTACCTGGTTGTTAAAAGATTTGGAGGGTCGTATTCCAGGGGTATATTAAGGATTAAGGACCTGCCCAAAATGCTATGCCTTCCATAAACAGTTTACAAGCATGAAAACTTGCCAATCAACTGTTGTTAAAGTTATAAACAGCCTCCTGGTGCTTCGGAGCTCATTAACTGTTTAATAATTGTAAACAAAGCCGTCAAAGATTGAGAAAAGATGGACAGGTTCGTAAGTGCTTGCGTAACCGCTTATGCGTGCTAGTGGCTGTACAAGAATGTAACAACTCTTGTATATATAAACTAAAAATAAATTGGGATAACGTTGCTATAGGCCTACCTGTTAACGACCTCCAACTGCCGAAGAAGTCGTTCATTCTCCTTACACACAAGTTCTTGATCCCTCACCAGCGATGTTGCTATTTCCTGTACGATAAAAAGTATTACACAATTATCAAAAGAAACATAACTAACCATTATTTATAATACGTACAAAGAAAACGAGAAAGAAAACGTATATTTGACCTTTCCAATTATCTCAATGGGAAATATTCTCACCAATTTAACACACACACATTACGTGGCAGCCAATGACTTTAACCCAATATGGCAACCATGGAATTAACCAATATGGCAACTAGTAATCTAAAAAACATGATAATCAGTAGTAGTGGGCAGCCATCAGTCTCTGGAGACTATAGAGTTGTCGGTCTGGTGTAGCCTCTCCAAGGCGCAAAGCCAGGGTAGGTTGATACTTGAGAAGCTGTCACCCATGCAGCAGGTGACCTAACAAATACGACAATCGGCGTAACCTAGCCAGAGACCAAACGTACACCCACATACACACCTGCAGCTCCTTGTTTTCCATTCTGACGTTCTCGTGCTCGGCCATGTAGTGCTGGACAAGTCTGATCAGTTCTCTATTGTCCAGGTTCTCTAGCTTCTCGTTATCTATTCTGAAGGACCCTTGTCGAGACATTGGTTGTGTCACTGTGGAGGTATACACACATGTGGTTAGTCTACATGAGCTTATGAACTACCGAGAGGGAGTTTACCATATAAACTGCTACCTATATAGTGGGAGTTTACCATATAAACTACTAATGGGAGTTTACCATATAAACTACTAGTGGGAGTTTACCATATAAACTACTACCTAGTGGGAGTTTACCATATAAACCTAGTGGAAGTTTATTTGGGTGGAAAAATGTCATTCCATAAAAAAAGGCTCACAAATCAAGACAGCTCACTAATAACAAAAAAAAATACCACAATGGTGGTACTGAAAACTGTTCACTCGAGTTATAACATTGGTCTACTGGTAGAAATTCACAAAATAGAGGAAGGATCTTGTAGGTTAACACCCAACATGACTTCACACAACACACAGGGATCACACTAACGTGATGCATCAAATGCAGTCTCCGTGGGGTAGTGGTAAGACACTCGCCTGGCGTTCCGCGAGCGCTATGTCATGGGTTCGTATCCTGGCTGGGGAGGATTTACTGGGCGCAATTCCTTAACTGTAGCCTCTGTTTAACGCAACAGTAAAATGTGTACTTGGATGAAAAAACGATTCTTCGCGGCGGGGGATCGTATTCCAGGGACCATAGGATTAAGGACTTGCCCGAAACGCTACGCGTACTAGTGGCTGTACAAGAATGTAACAACTCTTGTATATATCTCAAAAAAAAAAGTGAACAAATCCACAAGGGCCGTGACGAGGATTCGAACCTGCGTCCGGGAGCATCCCAGACACTGCCTTAATCAACTGAGCTACGACATGGTAAAAAGAGTTACCATGTCGTAGCTCAGTCGATTAAGGCAGTGTCTGGGATGCTCCTGGACGCAGGTTCGAATCCTCGTCACGGCCCTTGTTGATTTGTTCATTTCAGACAATGTGTACATTTTATTTATTTATTTATTTATATATATATATATACAAGAAGGTACATTGGGTTTGTGAGAATACATTGGATAGTACAGTATTTACATTCTTGTAAAGCCACTAGTACACGCAGCGTTTATATACATGTCATATAAAGCTCTGTAATTACGTCATACACTCAGGAATATTGGAAAGATATTCTTGTGCTGTAGCCAGATTTTTGCCAGTGGAGGCTAATAGATCTACTTCACATTTTATGTTCTCTCCTAATTCCATGTATGACAAACCTTCCTGTGAGATGGGGATTTTAGATTAACTTATAGCTAGTTTTTTTATGCAGGCGATGAGTCACAATAACGTGGCTGAAGTATGTTGACCAGACCACACACTGGAAGTTGAAGGGACGACGACGTTTCGGTCCGTCCTGGACCATTCTCAAGTCGATTGTGAGACTTGACACAATCGACTTGAGAATGGTCCAGGACGGACCGAAACGTCGTCGTCCCTTCAACTTCTAGTGTCTAGTTTTTTTTATCTACACTGTGTAATCTTTCATATAGAATAGGGTAGCAGCACATTGCTGTGTATACTTAAGCTTGTTGATAATAAAATATTAACAGTTTAGAACTGTCTATCAAGGATTTCCCTTCTTTAAATTAAACATAACACAGCAACAACATATTAATTGTCCTAGTAGAGTCAAAATCCTGTAATAAATGATACCAAACTCATTTCTGGTTATATTATACCTCAAGCCAATATGCAACTGAAAGTTGTATATTGGCTTGGAACCATTCAAGCTTGTTCGCATTTGTGTTGCTCACGTGGCCCCACAAAGTGAGGCGATTCGATGAAATAACTATGCCCAGGCTTACCACCAAGTGCCGTCGGGATGTTGGGGATATGGCCCTATGACAGAATCATAGGGGATATGGCCCTATAACAGAATCATAGGGCCGCAATCAGTGACCTAACTGATTTACCTCAGGGTAAATCAGGTCAATCAGAACGCTAACTTTGTCGAACTGTCTTATTTAAGATTTGACCACACCCGTCCCAACTCATCCTCAAATAAACAATAGTACTTACAGTAACTATTTGATCAAACGTACACAAATGTCCCGTTGAAGCTAAAACGTTCTCGTTTTCTATTATTGAATTACCCCCAAATGTTATACTAAAAATATGGGAAACTAAAGAACCTTTACCTAACCTGTCCAATGTGTAAATATGCAATCCCAGACTTAATACAGGTTGATGGGTAATATGGTATTATATACGTGTTCTATACTAGGTTAAGGGGTGTTTATGATTGGTTTTGGCTTTCTAGTCTTTTGTTTGGCGATTTGTAGTGTTTACTTTCTGTGTTTACAGCCAAACTTGAAGAGAGTGGTGTCAGTAATACCTGCATCAGAGACGGGTCCGGGAATGTTGGCACCAGTGGTGGACAGGGAAGGTAAGGCTCCTCCTCCGCCTCTCACTCCAGCATGGTCACCCTCCCGGGGAAGACCTGTATAAATATTATTATTAATTGTCACCGTCATAAGAACAAATCCACAAGGGCCATAACGAGGATTCGAACCTGCGTCCGGGAGCATCCCAGACACTGTCATAATATTAACGTCTCCCAAGATTACAGGATGCCTGCTATTGATGTTAATGCTTACTGTATGATCAGGCATTCTTATTCTGTTTTTGGAATATAAGTAGAGATGAATCATTTACGAAGTTCATATATCTATATATATAGATGTAAAGACCAGTTGGAGGAAATGAAAGAGTACATTGAGATTATTTGACGAATCTCCAATATCTTTTGTTATTCTGGCAGTTTAATCCCATGATGAAGGCCTAATGTTTAATTTTCTGAAGACATTCCAAATCATTTGAGTATTTAAGATGTAAGAGGAGCACCTCAGACATATATTTAAATCTGTCAGGTGTTGATTTTGCTGCCATTTAAGAGCCATAACCTACACTGATAAACACTAATGTGTGGAAAGGCTATAGATTTAGTTGTCTGAAATGGAACTCACTCTAATGCACTGTATTTATATACAATATGTTCTACCTATATACAATAATGTATTGATACAAGTATTTCCTTTCACGAGACAGGTAAATATTATTAATATATCAATATATCAGTATTGTTAATATAACCTTCACCTGTTATTCACCTGTGCTTCCTACATTTAAAATTACCAGACAGGAGAATAAGGTTAAAGGCACCAGTCTCTTCGGAGGCGTGGGGTTCGAATCCCACCGCTGCCACCACTGTAATTAAGACCAGTATCCCTTAGCTTAACACTCTTGACATTCCACTTGACAATATATGACACACCACTCGACACACTCAGCAATAGTGAATATGATTTTGTTTTCTTTACTAAATAATATACGATATTATATATAAATGTCATATATACATCAATATAAAGGTCGATATACATCGATATAAAGGTCATATATACATCAATTTACAAGGGAAATACTACATTACATATAGTTGATATAATCCCCATTAAACACACGAATTCAAGACAGGTGGATTATGGCATCTCCTCCTCTCTCCCCTGCAAGAAACCTCACTTACCATTCTCGCCAAGGTCGATGAGCATCTTAAGGTGGGCGTTCTCCTCCCGCAGCAGACTCACTTCCCTCTGCAAACTCATGATCACCTTCTCCTTGGGGTCCTGGAGGTCACATGTAAACAAAGACACAAGTGTTACATTTTGTATAATAAACGTATCTAAGCACACAGATAAAGGACAATCTGACAGAGATAAAGACAAAAACTTTGGTCTCCACACATCCACGAAGCTAAAATTTAGTACTAAAAATATATATACACCAGAAGGAATCTTATGAAAACACACCAATTAAGCAGGCGATGAGTCACAATAACGTGGCTAAAGTATGTTGACCAGACCACACACTAGAAGGTGAAGGGACGACGACGTTTCGGTCAGTCCTGGACTATTTTCAAGTCGATTGTGAGAATGGTCCAGGACGGACCGAAACGTCGTCGTCCCTTCACCTTGTAGTGTGTGGTCTGGTCAACACCAATTAACACTGCCTATGAATACGATCTATATATATCATTTAATGTTTCTAGGCAACCGTATCGATACAAAAATTCCTCAAGCCTCTTTATACTTTCTCAACAAAGGTGTCTACCACGAGCATTATCTATCAGGCAGAAAAATTGTCACTAATTATTCTCAACCACCAAATTACTAAACCTAACAATCTTTTCCATAGTTGAGTTATATGCATAGTCAAGTCCCTAATGTGGTACTACCTTCGCTACACGTGTAGCGAGAAGGCTACATAATGTAGTTATGTAGCAAATTACACTAGCAAGAAACAAAGACACATTTCAAATTCATGATCACCTATATGAGGTCGTGGATGCCACTAGGAAGGGCATGTGTGTACTGACCACGAATGTCGTGAAGAGCATGTGTATACTGACCACGAATGTGGTGATGGTCCTATGTATACTGACCACGAATGTCGTGATGGTCCTATGTATACTGACCACGAATGTGGTGATGGTCCTATGTATACTGACCACGAATGTCGTGAAGAGCATGTGTATACTGACCACGAATGTGGTGATGGTCCTATGTATACTGACCACGAATGTGGTGATGGTCCTATGTGTACTGACCACGAATGTGGTGATAGTCCTGTGTGTACTGATCACGACTATGATGACCTTGTGTGTACTAACCATGACTATGATGGGCTTGGTCCGTATACGCTTGGCTCTGGAGGCATAACGAAGTGTATTAAGCGTTTCGCTAATGTTGGACTTGGCTGGAGACACACACGCTATCTGCAAGAACACAACGAAACTTAATGCATGCAATCCTGAGTACATTGTAGTGTAACAATACTAGTAAATTATTACATAAGTAATCAGTGTTATGTATGATACAATGTCATTACAGCTTCAAGGAAATTTGTGTTTGATTTACCATGAGTGTGACACCATTGCCTGCTAGGCTATCAGCGAGCAGCTTCGTCAGTTTAGAGTCTCGGTAAGGAATATGACTGTCACGCTTGCGGGAGTCCGAAAGTGCTGCTATGCAGGTTCCTGAAAGTGAAGGAATAGCCATGTGAACATGTTCTCTCTCTCTCTGCTCACATGCTATAATAGATTGCTGGGAAGACGGGACACCACGAGCGTAGCTCTCATCCTGTAACTACACTTTAGGTAATTATACATGCCTGTAATTTCCATACCTATACCAAAACATAGGCCTACCAACTACTACTGAATGTGCTACATGCTAAAGGATAAATGATTTTGTTTTCTGAAAGTTAATAGGCTATTATACATGCCATTTACAGATTAACTGTCTCTCTAGATTCCCACCAGCCCTGCAAAGCTTATATTTGGAGCAATAATTGCAAGGTTATAATGATATCTAGACGACATATTTGTGTTCTACTGTACGTTGGAGAAGGCTTTTAAGAGATGCGCTTAAAACGAATGAAACCCCTTCAAAACATATTTTAACGTTATCTCTTCTGTGTCAGCCCGTCCTCAGAAACAATGGCTCAATGGTCCTTAATCCAGTCACAAAATCACCCCTAATTACGCAACATGTTTTCTCATATAATACACCGTATTTTGACGTTATAAATCGCCAGGGAATTAAAGATGGAGGTATTGTACAGTACTATGAAAAGTGGCGCCTAAAAGTGACGATGCTATGCAGTAGTTAAGTGTTTCAGCATTATTTTTGTTGGGATACGTACCGGTTCACTTATCATTTTCTCCATATTATATATAAAGTGTGTGTGTGTGTGTAATTACCTAAGTTTAATTACCTAAGTGTAGTTACAGGATGAGAGCTACGCTCGTGGTGTCCCGTCTTCCCAGTACTCTTTGTCATATAACGCTTTGAAATTACTGACGGTTTTGGCCTCCGCCGCTTTGTGTGTGTGTGTGTAATTACCTAAGTGTAATTACCTAAGTGTAATTACCTAAGTGTAGTTACAGGATGAGAGCTACGCTCGTGGTGTCCCGTCTTCCCAGCACTCTTTGTCATATAACGCTTTGAAACTACTGACGGTCTTGGCCTCCACCACCTTCTCACTTAACTTGTTCCAACCGTCTACCACTCTATTTGCGAAGGTGAATTTTCTTATATTTCTTCGGCATCTGTGTTTAGCTAGTTTAAATCTATGGCCTCTTGTTCTTGAAGTTCCAGGTCTCAGGAAGTCTTCCCTGTCGATTTTATCAATTCCTGTTACTATTTTGTACGTAGTGATCATATCACCTCTTTTTCTTCTGTCTTCTAGTTTTGGCATGTTTAATGCTTCTAACCTCTCCTCGTAGCTCTTGCCCTTCAGTTCTGGGAGCCACTTAGTAGCATGTCTTTGCACCTTTTCCAGTTTGTTGATGTGCTTCTTAAGATATGGGCACCACACAACAGCTGCATATTCTAGCTTTGGCCTAACAAAAGTCATGAACAACTTCTTTAGTATATCGCCATCCATGTATTTAAATGCAATTCTGAAGTTAGAAAGCATTGCATAGGCTCCTTGCACAATATTCTTAATGTGGTCCTCAGGTGATAGTTTTCTATCTAGAACCACTCCTAGATCTTTCTTTATCAGAATTCTTTAAAGATTTCTCACATAATATATAGGTTGTGTGGGGTCTATGTTCTCCTATTCCACATTCCATAACATGACATTTATTAACATTAAATTCCATTTGCCAAGTGGTGCTCCATATACTTATTTTGTCCAGGTGTGTGTGTGTGTGTGTGTGTGTGTGTGTGTGTGTGTGTGTGTGTGTGTGTGTGTGTGTGTGTGTGTGTGTGTGTGTGTGTGTACAAATTTATGTATTTGTGCATGTGCTTTTATATGCATATTTGTGTGAATATATATGCATGTGTATGTGTTTACCTTTACATTATACCTTTGAACTAAAATATGAAAATAGAGAGATATTTGTGAGTGAAGTACAGTGAGCAAGAGCCGCACACAGCACACGAAGGAATCATTCCCACTTATGGTCAGCCGATTAGCGTGACCGACAACATTTTGAAACCTGACATAGTTACCAAAGCCGTGGCGAACTATAACCACAATCGAAATGCTTATTCAATATAAGAGAAACTTCCAGTATTAACAGCACGAACATAAGCTGTGAGCTTATTCGACTAAACAATCAATAAATTGTATGTTGGCCAGTTACCTAGCAACCATTGTTTCTCCCCTTTCATCATAACTTTTCTACACCAACAGACAAGATTCTTCAAATGTAATTTTGTATATTTCCCCTTAAAAACACTACTTTTATGTGTCTTGTTTTATGTTTGTGGACAATGCCGGACCTGTTCTCCTGCTTCTAGCCTCACGCATTGGTTCTCTATTTTGTTTTTCGTTTGAAAAATTGCGCGAGGCTATGGCGGTCAGCAATACACTAATATTATGAAAATATGGTCAACTCTAATATCACTCTACATAAATTACCTACCAAATAACACTTGAAATGTTTATATTCACACAGAAATCACAATAGCGTGATGTATCAAATGAACAACTCCACAAAGGCCGTGATGAAGATTCGAACCTACGTCCGAGAGGATTCTACACTAATTCAATAAGTGAATATTATTATGCTGCTAATGTCGTGGCTGAGGTCGATAGGTGGATGGTGAGGGCTTAATTAATAAAGTGGGTCCCTTAATAATTAATTAAGTGCTCGTGAAGAACAACCACTTAATAGATTTATGATTTTGTAGCAACAATTTAGTACAAAAACGTAATATAAGAACTATGTTAAACCTAACCTTAACTAGGCCATGTATATCAATGTTATACCACAGGTTATACATCTTGCGTGGGCCGGAATAAGTCACATTGTATAACGTGTCAACACTGACATACAATATATACAGTGCTGAATACAGTCTAACAAGTCATCATGCCATAATAACCACCTCGTGTGACCTTGAATGATAGCAGCTCGATATCGCTATATCCCGGCTGCATCTAGCCTGTGTGTGTGTAGATTTGCACCAACTAAACATTTTTGGTATACGTGTATTTAGTATATTGTTATGCCTCTTCTTCGTGTATTTAACCGATAATGTATATTTGTGAACCTAGTCTTGCCTTTAGCATTTTCCCAGATATTGTCTTTGTTCAAATGCCTTTAGCATTTTCCCAGATATTGTCTTTGTTCAAATGCCTTTAGCATTTTCCCAGATATTGTCTTTGTTCAAATGCCTTTAGCATTTTCCCAGATATTGTCTTTGTTCACATTATTTTAGTTATATCATCATGGTAGACACCTCTTCCCGCCCTCCTTATAAAGAAGATTTTTTTCCTTTTTATGCTTCTTACGTTAATTTCCAAAATAGATTACTGGCGCCACAGGTTAGGCTACCGCTTAGCCTTGGCCGGTGGTGGTCAAAACATGTCTGCTGATATATTTATTGGCAGCCGTCTGCCAAGATAACAGGTGGGAGTGTGGGGGGACCTGTCAACTCCCCTTCACATAGGATAACAAGTGTTTACAGTATCTAGCTCCATTATGAAACCCTCATAATTACTTGTTTTAGCAGTTCATTATCGCTCAAATATCTATATTTTTTACACACCTGGTAATCAATTTGCATTTTGTACAAACACATAGCTATAAATATATTAGAGTTTGTTTCTGTATTCAAGGTTGCAGGCCCAGATGCTTCGGGGGGTTATCCTCGCCCAACTTTTAATGATGACACGAGGATGGTGTATGACTGTCATAAAGTCATGATTGTCATGACTGTATGACTGTCATATTAGACTAGATGCAGTCAGCCATATTGCCCTTATTTAAGAAATATTGACCCCTTCGGATTTCGATATAGTCTAAAATCGAAGACATTTCCCCCATAGAGTTTTGAGAAGTTATTAATCTTATTAATAAACGCTAAATAAACGCTTAATAAACGCTAAACTATAATGCCAATCCTGATCTCAAAAGCTTCATAGAAGGTTGTAACAGAACCCATGAGCACCACACCAGAAATAAACACAGTTTTGATATTCCTAGAGTACGACTAAATCAAACCAGAAATGCTCTACAAATCAAGGGGCCCAGAATGTGGAATGACCTTCCCAACCATGTTAAAGACTGTACCTCTCTCAACCAGTTTAAGTTAAAAACGAAGCTATACCTAATAAATTCCATGTAACCTACCTTACCCCTCTGTTGTCAACCCATGTATATTTTTTGTTTTTTTGTTTTTCAAATCAACGCTGTTTGAATGTAATTTTCTGTAATAATTTGTAATTGTATTTGTGCTGCTTTTTCAACAATGTTCCCCCCTCTTTTACCTCTATTTTTTATATGTACTCATCACATCTTTTCTTTTTACCCATTAGTTTTAAGCTGTAGACATTAATGTTTTTCCTGCCCGAAACGCTTTGCGTAATAGTGGCTTTAGGCATTGTATCTACTAGCTATACCTATAAAGCCAACAAACTTTGTAAATCTCTTTATGTATGTACCTTACCTAAATAAAGATTATTATTATTATTATTATTATTATTATAATATTACAATTAATTTCGCAGTATAAATATTTTGTAAAAAGTGGTAAATTATCTAAGATTAAAACAAAGATATCCCCTTATTGCTTCTAGGAACTTGTATGTATTGGTCATTACACCTTCTCAAGTTCCCTGTTGGTCTTATGTTCATGAACCATTTAGTGCATATAAATCGACTTGAGAATGGCCCAGGACGGAGCGAAACGTCGTCGTCCCTTCACCTTCTAGTGTGTGGTCTGGTCAACATACTTCAGCCACGTTATTGTGACTCCTCGCCTGCAGACTTACCCAGTACCATGAGGGACTTGTTGATGTTGTTCGCCTCCTCGAGTGTCTTGCCCTCAGAGTTGGTCTTCTTGGTCATCTCAGAGCCGGCCAAATCCACGAAGTTAATTTTGCCGTTCCTGGTGACGTATACCCCATCGTCGGCCTGCGCCAAAGAACACACATTAACACGCACATAACTCAGAATGACGTGATACATCAAATGAACAAATCCAGCGCATAGGTATTTTCAAGAGGAAACTAGATTTATTCCTGCAAGGAGTGCCGGACCAACCGGGCTGTGGTGGGTATGTGGGCCTGCGGGCCGCTCCAAGTAACAGCCTATTGGACCAAATTCACACAAGTCAAGCCTGGCCTCGGGTCGGGCTTGGGCAGTAGAAGAACTCCCAGAACCCAGTCAACCAGGTATATGTGGCCCTGCGGGCCGCTCCAAGCAACAGCCTGGTGGACCAAACTCTCACAAGTCAAGCCTGGCCTCGGGTCGGGCTTGGGGAGTAGAACAACTCCCAGAACCCCATCAACCAGGTATCAACCAGGTATCAACCAGGTAACCCTCAGCAAGGCAATTGTGGATTTGTTCAAGCATTAATAATCCTATTATAAAATGCAAAATCACGGCCACATAGTACAAGAAAGTCATAAAATAAGTCCTACTTTGCAGATGATGAGTCACAATAACGTGGCTGAAATATGTTGACCAAACCACACACTAGAAAGTTAAGGGACGACGACGACGTTTCGGTCCGTCCTGGATCATTCTCAAGTCGACTGGAGAATGATCCAGGACGGACCGAAACGTCGTCGTCCGTTCACTCTCCAGTGTGTGGTCTGGTCAACAAATCCTACTTTGCTTTAATTCAAGTGTTCTATCACCATTCAAATTTATATTTCTTGATGAAGTGTAATTAGGGCAAAGACTGACCTTCTGTTCCGAGGTGATGTTGACGGAGAGAATTGTATGACTGCGGGAGGAGTACTCGTTCATATTGTGAGACGCCACTGCCCGGTTCCTCAGACCTGAAGAAAAAAGTCTTATTAATCTCACTCATCCCGATTATCTTCTTCAGTCTCCCATTCTATATATTGAATACTCTAGGAGCACAAACGATGTAAATCAATGATTAAGAAGGAACTCTCATTTCTAACTTGCTACTGTTTTCTCTTAGGTGTGTGAATCTGTCTCCTTAACACTTAAATCGTGTCTTTTCTACCTTTATTCATCCCTTAAATCCTTTTTTTTGAGATATATACAAGAGTTGTTACATTCTTGTACAGCCACTAGTACGCGTAGCGTTTCGGGCAAGTCCTTAATCCTATGGTCCCTGGAATACGATCCCCTGCCGCGAAGAATCGTTTTTTCATCCAAGTACACATTTTACTGTTGAGTTAAACAGAGGCTACAGTTAAGGAATTGCGCCCAGTAAATCCTCCCCGGCCAGGATACGAACCCATGAACCTTCTATGTACATGTCCTATTACTACTGTTTCTATGCAGGCGAGGAGTCACAATAACGTGGCTGAAGTATGTTGACCAGACCACACACTAGAATATGAAGGGACGACGACGACGTTTCGGTCCGTCCTGGATCATTCTCCAGTCGACTTGAGAATGGTCCAGGACGGACCGAAACAACGTCGTCCCTTCACCTTCTAGTGTGTGATCTGGTCAACATACTGTTCCTGCCCTTCCTCACCATACGCTTCTTACAGTCTTTCTTCACCATAAATGAAGCTTCCTTAGATGCTTGTACATCCTTCCTTCAAGAATGAAGCTCCTTCCTTCACCTTGCCTCACACCTTCCCCAAACTTCCCCCTCCTCATCAGCAGCTAACCTTCCTCGAGGACCGCCAGCAGGTCATCCAGCTCAGCGCACTCGATCTCGAAGAGGTTCTCGACGAAGAAGCCGCGTTTCTTCTTGCTCCAACGCACCTGCAGCGGCTTGTTGTTGGTGCCCATGTTGAGGAGGTCGATCACCTGGTGGAGGAGAGCACGTTGGGCATTAGTCTCCGTCGCTAGCCGTGGCGGGGTGCGGCCAAAGGGAACACAGAGGGTTACGCAGGCAGTTCGAAATGTAAATCTTCAAATACTAAAGGCTCAAGTTATGATAGTGTTTCCTAACCTAATATATGTTAGCTGGTTTGGGTTATATTAGATTGGTTATATAGGCTTTAAGGTCGTTAAACCATCGTGAAGGAATTAACCATGACCCCTCAAGGAAGATGCAAACCATTACAATTTAATGACTCCAAAACACTAGAGGCTAAAACCAATAATGCCTTTCACGTGAACCGAGGACAGACTGACAGACATGAACGCAATCTTCTTGAGGTTATCTTGAGATGATTTCGGGGCTTTTTTAGTGTCCCCGCGGCCCGGTCCTCGACCAGGCCTCCACCCCCAGGAAGCAGCCCGTGAGAACTGACTAACACCCAGGTACCTATTTTACTGCTAGGTAACAGGGGCATAGGGTGAAAAACTCTGCCCATTGTTTCTCGCCGGTGCCTGGGATCGAACCCAGGACCACAGAATCACAAGTCTCGCGTGCTGTCCGCTCGGCCGACCGGCCATCGCTACAACTCTGGAATTCTGGTACTGCTGGATGAGGCGATGGTTCCATGCTGGTTCTGCGTACCCTGATACTACAGACAATTCACATACAGTAGTAATATATTATTATAAAATGTTCCCTCCCTTAGATACCCTCTCCTCTCTCTGAATTTAACAGGTGCCTTCCCCTCAGCCTGAACTCTACCACTAGTATCCTCTTTTCTCCTATTATTCTCATTAACTTGCATTTGCTGGGATTGAATTCCAGTAGCCACTTGTGTAATTATGTAGCTTCTACAAACACTATTGTAGAATTTTGCAGTCTTCCTGTCCTCGACATTCTCGCCAGCTTAGTCTCGCCTTTAAATATCGACGTGTACAAGTCCTGCCTCCTCCAGCAGTTTGAGTAGAATTTGTGTACATCCAACATTACCCTCGCTAGTTCACTACACAACTGACACGTGCTCTCGACGCACGCACGCACGCACGCACACGCACGCACGCACGCGCACACGCGCACGCGGGCACACACACACAATGTAATGTACAGAGATATTAGAAAGAACTTTTTTAGTGTCAGAGTGGTTGACAAATGGAATGCATTAGGAAGTGATGTGGTGGAGGCTGACTCCATACACAGTTTCAAGTGTAGATATGATAGAGCCCAATAGGCTCAGGAATCTGTACACCTGTTGATTAACGGTTGAGAGGCGGAACCAAAGAGCCAGAGCTCAACCCCCGCAAACACAACTAGGCGAGTACAACTAGGTGAGTACACACACACACACACACACACACACACACACACACACACACACACACACACACACACACACACACACACACACACACCTTATAACCAAGACCCAACCACATCAAACAAATGCTCAACCCTGCACTGGGGAGACATTACAGAGGTCCCCCTAGTGGACAACCACCACCATACTAACTCACCACCCTGTTATAATCTCCACCCAGCCACGGGGGCCCAGAGTGTGACGTCTTCCGACTTCCTCTACAACTCCCGCTGAACCACAAGCTGGAATTTGCAGATCGATGAGCGGGTTCGCGGTCAGCACAGCCGGCCAAGGCGTCGTCGACACGCTGGCGTTATAATTAATCGACGTGATGTATCACCTGCTCCAACAAGTCGTGCTAGTCAACATGACTTGCCTCTAGAGACGTTGCTGGCTACGGAGTCTCGCTGAAGGAAGGGAAACCTCTCAGCCTGCTAACAGGAGTCACAAGGCGTCTACTCCTGTACCCACATACCACTTACGGGCTATTCATGCCCGTGCCACCTCTTGGGTGGCTTAATCTTTATCAATCAATGTACCCACACCTGTGAAGGACGCGAACCTGTGTGCCAAGACATTACCTTCTCGTTGTAGATCTCGAGGTAGGAGGCAGTGAGGGTGAACTCCTGATCGTCACGACTCTGCAGCTGGTTGAAGAGGTACACGAACGATCTGAAGATGAGGCCGTGGCTCTCTGAGAACATGTCGGGCCCTTTGTCGAACTGGGGAGGAGAAAGTGTACATAAGTATGGTGAGTGAAGGTGACGCTCACACACGGGGGACGGTAATCACGATGAACTTGGTGTAGAGAGGGAGGGATTGGTTAGAGGTTATAGGGGGGGATTGGTTAGGGGTTATGGGGGGGGGGATTGGTTACTCAGGAGAGCTTAAAGAGGAGAGGGGGGGGGTTGTGATGGTGTACCAGTGATGATGGGAGTGACGCTGATGAGAGAGCCATGAGTGAATGAGTCGATGAGTTGACTTGGATGAGGAAGGACTCGCCTCCAGTAACAAATGCTGCTCTCTCTACCACCACAAAGTGGCTCTCAACACGCTCACGATATCAACACACTTCAGGGACACACTTTCACTAGGGGGGAAAGAGTTAAGACACTTTCACTGCTCCAGTAGGACTTTTAGACCCACGTGGCTTTCATACCGACTCCTCTACGCCTGCTATCGTTACGTGGACCGTCTAATTACCCTCCTCGCCCGACCATTAAGAGTCCTACTCCCCCTATGTACATAGCCAAGAAGGCCCCTAGTTTCGTCTAATAACAATTAGAGGGAGGCGAGATGCCGAAGATTTGAGTTTTGTAGGTTTTAAGTTCGTTTGGTGAGAGTGAGTTCTGCAGCAAAGATGGCGAACCGGCTCCAGGTGACGGCGGCAGAGAAATCCCGCCAAATGCGGTGACGCTGTCTCCTGGTTTTGGGGAATATGATTGGTCGGATGCGGGGATGTATCCAGTTTGACGAATCAGAGCGCGCCCCATGGCGTGACGTAGCCATGACGTCAGCGCCCGAGGTGATACTTAAAAATACTTAAAGCCCGATTTCAGAATGCTGAAAGTGGATTTCAAGAAGCTACACGAATAATCTAATAAATGGCTATTTGAATTCAACCCCAATAAGTGAAACATAAGGAGAAGTACACCAGGAAGGAGCCCAGAGGTTTCCAGAGTAGCTTTACACGTTCTATACGGCTAACGACATCGTGACATCACGGACGGAAACTTGAAGCTCAAATGAGATGTAGTGGACGAAACAAGGCAGTTCCCAACTATGCAGACAGTGATTGGAGAGGGGGGGGGGGGCGAATGTTAATCCCATTCACGGTTTTAAATTAGTTATGAAAAAATCTACGGACGGAAATTACAGCATCAGACGACTGATAGTTAACAAATAAGTAACTTGAGAAATACTCTAAACACAACCAGGTTACACACACACACACACACACACACACACACACACACTGATAAAGACAGGCTATTTAAGACAAGGGGCACACGCACTAGGGGACACAGGTGGAAACTGAGTGCCCAAATGAGCCACAGAGATATTAGAAAGAACTTTTTTAGTGTCAGAGAGGTTGACAAATGGAATGCATTAGGGGGTGATGTGGTGGAGGCTGACTCCATACACAGTTTCAAGTGTAGATATGATAGAGCCCAATAGGCTCAGGAACCTGTACACCAGTTGATTGACGGTTGAGAGGCGGGACCAAAGAGCCAGAGCACAACCCCCGCAAACACAACTAGGTGAGTACACACACACACACACACACACACCTCGACGCTGCCACCCCTACACACACGTATGATACATGTCCAAAGTCGTCTCGTGTGAAACTGAGTACATAAAAAAAACTTTACGATCTGTCAAGTTAATTCTCAACTTCAAAATTATTTACCACGATGTCCGTGGAGCATGCAAGACTAGCAACTCCTGGTGTACTGATGCAATAGTACACACACACACTTATGATAGGGTAAAAGAGTAGCAGTACACACGGGGTGTACTGTGTACAATACAACACAAGATGTACTCTACTGCTGTGTATATTCACTGATAGTGTAATTTTAGGTCTATGTTCACCGTGCTGGTTAATCAGAAAATGATTGTGGTGATTCAACCCGTTCTCGCACTTGCTTACAGTCAATATTGACTTAGTATGTCACATATGCACTTATTAAATAAGTCAATATTGACTGTAAGCAAGTGCATATGTGACATACTAAGTCAATATTGACTGTAAGCAAGTGCGAGAACGGGTTGGGTGATTCTATTTTCCCAATCAGTCGTCGTGTTTGGTCGAGTAGGAGTTTGGATGAGTAGGAAATCATTAGAAAGTTTAAATTTTCACATGATTGTGAAAAGAACAAAAAATGCTTAGATACAATAATGTGACTGAAAAGCAAATAATCGAACCAGCATTGAGAAATTTATTACAACGAGTAGACGAAGCATTAATATAGTAACAGAAGAAGCATTAAGATATGCAATATGGAACAAAAGAATCCATAAGATGCATGTTGCAGAGCTCACTGCAGCAGCATCTGCAACACAGATGAATCTAAGGTGTTGTTAAGCTTGAGCAACTAGTGCAACAAGCCCTTGAACCCTTGCAACCAGCCCTTGAACCCTTGCAACTAGTGCAACCAGCCCTTGAACCCTTGCAACTAGTGCAACCAGCCCTTGAACCCTTGCAACTAGTGCAACCAGCCCTTGAACCCTTGCAACTAGTGCAACCAGCCCTTGAACCCTTGCAACTAGTGCAACCAGCCCTTGAACCCTTGCAACTAGTGCAACCAGCCCTTGAACCCTTGCAACTAGTGCAACCAGCCCTTGAACCCTTGCAACTAGTGCAACCAGCCCTTGAACCCTTGCAACTAGTGCAACCAGCCCTTGAACCCTTGCAACTAGTGCAACCAGCCCTTGAACCCTTGCAACCAGCCCTTGAACCCTTGCAACTAGTGCAACCAGCCCTTGAACCCTTGCAACCAGCCCTTAAACCCTTGCAACCAGCCCTTGAGCCCTTGCAACCAGCCCTTGAGCCCTTGCAACTAGTGCAACAAGCCCTTGAACCCTTGCAACCAGCCCTTAAACCCTTGCAACCAGCCCTTGAGCCCTTGCAACCAGCCCTTGAGCCCTTGCAACCAGCCCTTGAGCCCTTGCAACTAATGCAACCAGCCCTTGAACCCTTGCAACTAGCGCTAGCAAGGGCTAACATAAGCATCAGAAGAGTGGTGTGTGTGTGTGTGTGTGTGTGTGTGTGTGTGTGTGTGTGTGTGTGTGTGTGTACTCACCTATATGTACTCACCTATATGTGCTTGCAGGATCGAGCATTGACTCTTGGATCCCGCCTTTCGAGCATCGGTTGTTTACAGCAATGACTCCTGTCCCATTTCCCTATCATACCTGGTTTTAAAATTATGAATAGTATTTGCTTCCACAACCTGTTCCTGAAGTGCATTCCATTTCCCCACTACTCTCACGCTAAAAGAAAACTTCCTTACATCTCTGTGACTCATCTGAGTTTCAAGCTTCCATCCATGTCCTCTCGTTCTGTTACTATTCCGTGTGAACATTTCGTCTATGTCCACTCTGTCAATTCCTCTGAGTATCTTATACGTTCCTATCATGTCCCCCCTCTCCCTTCTTCTTTCTAGTGTCGTAAGGCACAGTTCCCTCAGGCGCTCTTCATACCCCATCCCTCGTAGCTCTGGGACGAGTCTCGTTGCAGAGCCTCGTTGTGTGACTCGTTGCGAGTCACACACACAGCTCGTTGTGTGTGTGTGTGTGTGTGCGTGTGTGTGTTAAGTTGATGCCACTGAGATGTGTATCAGAGCCAGGCTTCACCAGGTATTAACGAAACCTTTGCATCTTTGCCCCCATCTTAGTGTACATGTTTACACTAAAAAAGTTCTCTATAACAATAATAACCTCGAGATATCAGGTTTTCTAAGCCCGTAAATCGTTTAGTAAATGCAGTTTATGAACATATAGTTCAGTGATTTATTGAACAATCAACCATAGGTGATTGCAGGGCTTATAATATCTAATAATAATATATCTAATATCTACATATTCATACTACATATCTACAATAACATCTACATATCTAATAATAATATAATATCTAACCTACATATATACACAAAGACACACATATTTACGTCTGCTCCTACATAAACAGTGGTTGGTGTGTGGAGTGTTCATGTTGGGGCTATTCTCACTTGATAACAGAGATAACAGCAGCGTGCAGGGAGGTGTGGGCTGACCCGTTCCACATCTGTCACGGCTGACACATGTGTACAGGTGTTTAGTGGGGGGGGGGGAGGGAGAACCGGGGTCACCAGCACCTCTGACACATATTTTTTCTCTTTTTCACTCTTTTTATCTCTCTCTCTATCTCTCTATCTCTCTCTCTCTCTCTCTCTCTCTCTCTCTCTCTCTCTCTCTCTCTCTCTCTCTCTCTCTCTCTCTCTCATATATACCTATCAGGCCTCTTAAAAAGTAATTTGATTAAAACTGAACTATCTGAACAAAGCCGTGAGTGGAGGAAAATGAGGGTGTGTGAAGAGGGGGGGGGGGCAGAGTGAGTGCACGCATGTTGAATGTTGCACACGCACACTTTGCGTGTAGTGAAGTGGAGAGGGTCAATAGCACCACTCACCCAAGGGTGCTGACACAGGTGAGAGAGTGCACGCACCTGATGGGGGGGGGGGGGGAAAGGTGGCCACAGCTGTGGTAGGGGGTCCTTGTGTACTTTGTGTGTGTGTGTGTGTGTGTGTGTGTGTGTGTGTGTGTGTGTGTGTAATTACCTAAGTGTAATTACCTAAGTGTAGTTACAGGATGAGAGCTACGCTCGTGGTGTCCCGTCTTCCCAGCACTCTTTGTCATATAACGCTTTGAAACTACTGACGGTCTTGGCCTCCACCACCTTCTCACCTAACAAGGTAGGTGTGTGTGTGTGTGTGTGTGTGTGTGTGTGTGTGTGTGTGTGTGTGTGTGTGTGTGTGTGTGTGTGTGTGTGTGTGTGTGTGTGTGTGTAGGGGGGTGGGTGGCAGAGAGGGTGTGCGGGTGCGTGAGTCAGTTTGGGGTTGCGTGCGTACGTGCGTGTGATCCGATTGCGGTCGTGGTGATTCACACTATTTTATAAGTTCTGGGGGCCAGATTCACGAAGCAGTTACGCAAGCACTTACGAACCTGTACATCTTTCCTCGATCTTTAACGGCTTTGTTTACAATTATTAAACAGTTAATGAGCTCGGAAGCACCAGGAGGCTGTTTATAACAATAACAACAGTTGATTGGCAAGTTTTCATGCTTGTAAACTGTTTAATAAATGTAACCAAAGCCGTCAAAGATTGAGGAAAGATGTACACGTTCGTAAGTGCTTGCGTAACTGCTTCGTGAATATCACCCCTGATCCCCAAAGGGACAAGATACGCAGCCCCCAAAACCCCCCCATTTATGAACGAACGCTATTTACGCATGACTGATAACGTGCGAATATTTTTCGAACAGTGCTTAGTTCACAATCTCTGTTCGAATCGCAAATATGAAAATGCATCACCTACGTACGATTATTACAAATAATTGTAATTTCAAATACTTAACCTATATATGCTAATATATAATATTTACTTACATTTGAAAAAAAAATCCTATTTTGAAGGATATGGAATACCGTATGGACCCACAGCGAAACTACGACGTTGGTACAACGTTCGAACAAGTTTTAACACCTAACCAGTCATAACAACCAATATAGCAGGTTGTAGCAACGTTCTAATACGTCATAAACACGTTAAGCCAAGATGTAACAACTTTATTACAAGTTCTAACAAGCGGAAAATAGGGACTGTTACGGTTTGTGCTCCCAGGGGAATGCCGTATGGAATGCTGTATGGAATGCCATACAGAATGCCGTATGGAATGCCATACGGAATGTCGTATGGAATGCCATACGGAATGCCGTATGGAATGCCAAACAGAATGCCGTATGGAATGTCATACAGAATGCCGTATGGAATGCCATACAGAATGCCGTATGGAATGCCGTACGGAATGCCGTACGGAAAGAACATAGACAGAGGCAGGCCGTTCTCAGGGTAAAGTGATTCTAACGACTGGCCAACCTCCCTGGTTAACCACCTCGATATTTATCTATGTATTTGTGATGTTCTGAAGGCTTAAAAAGGTTCCAGTAATATTCTATATGTAAACTGATAAGTGAACATTTGTTCTAAATAAGGAATATTTCTCAAATTACAACTGTATTGTGTTATAAATGCAGGATTTAAAATATAAATTGGCTGTGGTATACTAGTTTTCTTTGATAAGGTCAAGGTTTTCTTTAATGTTAAATTCCAGGGGATACTCAAACATTTTTGCACTTCCTTTTCACACTCGAGTAATACACTATTCTACCTAACCTTAACCAAATCTATCCATGGATAGGGATAAATAACAATAATTATGTAGCCATTCTGAAGTGATTACCACAAGGGTACATAACCAGCAGACAAGTTACCTGAGGAAGAATTGAAATACAAGTTACCGTGAAAAGTAACCGGCTCACAATCCCCGTTTTCTATAAGTTTTAGGTTAGGCCAAGACGGTATCTTGGATTCACGAGTTTTAGTGCCCCGTATTTTGGTCGTTGTAGCAACCCTTAGGAGAACGGACTGTATGTATACAGGTCACGACCTCTCCGCAGGGTGCAGTCGCACCTCCACAGATCTCCAGTATCAGCTAATGATACTGGTAATGGCTCCAAAGGGCCACCACTTACGGGCTATTCATGCCCGCGCCACCTTTTGGGTGGCTTAATCTTCATCAATCAATGCATACTAACACTGGCTCATGAAAGCCAGTTGCTGGGATGATGGATGCTTGTTGATGGTAACTGGAGAGACGGTGATTCTCAGTCCACCAGATGGACTCATGTTTTCAGATGGATGGAGCCACAGCCTGCCAAACACACACCGAAACTACGACGTTGGTACAACGTTCGAACAAGTTTTAACACCTGGTAACCAGTTATAACAACCGATATATCAAGTTGTAACAACACTCTAATACGTCATAAACATGTTAATCCAAGATGTAACAACTTTATTACAAGTTGTAACAAGCGGAAAATAGGGACAGTTTCGGTTAGTGTTTCCAGGGAGTCCATGTAGCTCCGCCTGGTGGAGGAGTCCACATGGACTGCCCTCCCCCCTAGTCCTGAGATCCCACCCGCAATACCTGCCAATATTACGATACAGCTTGGTCCTAATCGTCCCAGGAGGATATTAATATACCCTAATCCAGTCGTTCAGGGTAAAGCCCGAATTGGACAGCCTCTACCGCGACCCCAGTCACGCAAGGATTAGGTTAGATCCCAATGTATTTCAATATAGGAACACTGCTATATCCAACGACGTTCAGAACCTATAGAACCATATAGGGCATAAATACTAGGAATAAGCTAGTAATGCCCTGGCCCAAACTGGGAATGCCCTGGCCCAAGCTAGGAATGCCCTAACCCAAGCTAGGAATGCCTTAGCACAAGCTAGTAATGCCCTGGCCCAAGCTAAGAATGCCTTAGCACAAGCAAGTAATGTCCTGGCCCAAGCTAAGAATGCCTTAGCACAAGCAAGTAATGACTTTCCATAAGTCACCCAACAGAAAGCAAAATATTGCCAGCATGAATTAACTTACCATTCGGCCGACGACAAAATATGTATACGCTCTGATGTAGCATTTCTCAACGTGTTAGTTGAAAATTGCACTATTTACCCGTAGAGTTCAAATGACACAGCGTGATTAAAAAAAATAAAAAAATAAAAAAAAAAATAAAAAAAAAAAAACCCAGTCAACCTCTGTGTTGGACAAACTTGAAGTAGTACAGAATGAGGCCATGAGGATAATTCTTGGTGCTCCAAGATGCACAAGAACCATCAACATGAGGGAAGAACTGAAGCTTCCAACCATACTAGAGAGAATAATGCAAGTCAACACTTAAGAGAGGGAGCCGGTCGGCCGAGCGAACAGCACGCTGGACTTGTGATCCTGTGGTCCTGGGTTCGATCCCAGGCGCCGGCGAGAAACAATGGGCAGAGTTTCTTTCACCCTATGCCCCTGTTACCGCTTCGTGAATCGGGTCCCAGAAGTACCTTGCTTAACGGTGGGTCGAACATTTCGTCACAAAACTCTGAGCGTCTATAACACCCACTGTCCAATGCTAACTAAACGAGTCACAACCAAAAGGTTAAACCCATGGCTTACAACTCATGCCATACAACTCATTGGTTGTATGTGTGTGTGTGTGTTGGTTGTGGTAGTACTTGGCATCCATCAGTCTCAGGAGACTATGGAGTTGTGCTCTGGTTGTCGGTCTGGAGTGGCCTCTCCAGGGCGCAAAGCCACGGTAGGTTGATTCAGGGGAGAAGCTGTTACCCAAGCAGCATGTGTGTGCGGGAAAGCGTGAAGCCATTTGAGGAAACTATACTACTATACACCTATGCTGCGTCAAGCATTCATGCTTAACACATCATGAAACATAACATAGCAGTCATTGGTGTCCTTCTATACATTCTAATACGAGTTGAGATGTGTAACGGAGAAGGCAGCAAGATATATAAACGTATATTAAAAAACTAAAGCCTGAATTACGTGACTGGACCAGATTCACGAAGCCGTTACGCAAGCACTTACGAACGTATACATCTTTCCTCAATCTTTGACGGCTTTGTTTACATTTATTAAACAGTTTACAAGCATGAAAACTTGCCAATCAACTGTTGTTATTGTTATAAACAGCCTCCTGGTGCTTCCGAGCTCATTAACTGTTTAATAATTGTAAACAAACCCGCCAAAGACTGAGAAAAGATGTACAGGTTCGTAAGTACTTGCGTAACTGCTTCGTGAATCTGGCCCCTACTATAAAGCTCCATGCAACCATCATCAGTAGCTACTTTGCTGAGATAAATTTGCGAAAGTAACAAAGCGTATTAGGCCAGAAGCGCCCCGTCTCTCCCGCCACCCGGCAGGACAGTATGGCAGAGGAGGAGGAGGACAAGACACGTAAATCGACTCAAAGATGCCACTCACCGAGAAGAAATTTGGCTTCCGAGACGTTTTGGAGGCTCTGGTTCTGGATGTGGTGGGCATGTAGTACTAACACGCGCCCGGATACGGCAGCACAGTGCGGGGGTGTCACCAGAATTACAGCCATACAAAAATATAGGTTAGATAAGATAATGGTTGAACTGGATCTCCGGGCTATATAATGTGTTTCTACTACAACCTGCCTCTCCAGGGGGACCAGATTCACGAAGCAGTTACGCAAGTACTTACGAACCTGGGGCCAGATTCAGGAAGCAGTTACGCATGCACTTACGAACGTCTACATCTTTCCTGAATCTTTGACGGCTTTGGTTACATTTATTAAACAGTTTACAAGCATGAAAACTTGCCAATCAACTGTTGTTATTGTTGTAAACAGCCTCCTGGGGGCTAGATTCACGAAAGCACTTACGCAAGCACTTACGAACCTGTACATCTTTTCTCAATCTTTGACGGCTTTGTTTACATTTATTAAACAGTTAATGAGCTCGGAAGCACCAGGAGGCTGTTTATAACAATAACAACAGTTGATTGGCAAGTTTTCATGCTTGTAAACTGTTTAATAAATGTAACCAAAGCCGTCAAAGATTCAGGAAAGATGTACAGGTTCGTAAGTGCTTGCGTAACTGCTTCGTGAATCTGGCCCCTGGTGCTTCGGAGCTCATTAACTGTTTAATAATTGTAAACAAAGCCGCCAAAGATTGAGAAAAGATGGACAGGTTCTTAAGTACTTGCGTAACTGCTTCGTGAATCTGGCCCCAGGTAACTTTTGGGCACCCAGCTACCTCTCCAGCCTTCACTAATCACTGGTGGATGCTATCAATTTACAGAACAAGCATTTAAGACAGTAATTCAGTCACAGGGAGGGAATTATCAGGGGGGAAAGCGCCAAGCCATTACAACTATATAACACTGGGAAAGGATAAGGATTTGAGATGGGATGGGACGGGGGGGGGGGGATGGAATAGTGCCCAAGCACTTGGACGGTCGGGGATTGAACGCCGACCTGCATGAAACAAGACCGTCCAGCCCAAGTGGTTTCAGATTATTATTTAGTTTATCATATCTGATCTATACAGTTATTTAACGATCAAACTGAAGCACTAGTTTATTACTCTAGTCTATATAAGCCGAGTGGACAGCATGCTGGACTTGTGATCCCGTGGTCCCGTGTTCGATCCCGGGCGAGAAACAATGGGCAGAGTTTCTTTCACCCTATGCCCCTGTTACCTAGCAGTAAAATAGATACCTGGGTGTTAGTCAACTGTCACGGGCTGCTTCCTGGGGGTGGAGGCCTGGTCGAGGACCGGGCCGCGGGGGACACTAAAGCCCCGAAATCATCTCAAGATAACCTCAAGTAGCTATACCGCGCAGTGCCTTGGGTCTAAATGTTCAGTAGTTACCGAAGCTCTTAACCTTGAAATGACCACTTCACAACTATTCATTTAGGCCTACACCACTTCCTGAACAACAGACCTGCGAAGCCTTTGTGAACCACAGCTTCTGATCAATTAGACTATGTGCAGAAAACACTAGGTAATGCTCCATGATTTCCGTCAGGCACTATTCGTAAGACTTAAAAAGCTTAATTTAGTCTCCAGAAAGGCGAAGAGCTATGGATGACATGGCTGAAGTGAACAAGTGGATGATAAGGATGACACAGCTTCGATCTCACACCCTTGGGGTCAATGGTTCGAGTCTCTAAGAGCCCAGACGATAAGGCATAACAAGGGTGATATTAATAAAGTAATACATATATCAACACAAACTAGAACATGAAACAATGGATATAAATTGGATAAGTTTATAGATATAGGAAAGACCTGGGTAAATACTGGTTTTGCAAACAAGGTTGTTAAAGCTGTGAAACACATTACTGAGTAACGAAGACGCGGGATCCCGTGATTGTTTCAAGCGTAGGTTAGACGTTAGAGCTTGTGCGGATATAAATAGGGTCAGTAGGCCTATAGTTTCCATAATTCCAATCGTCTTACAGGTCCAATAGGATTTAGAATTTCTGATGATCACGCATCGGTGATATACAACAACAGCGGCCAATAGCATTTAGATAATCGCTAAACTTGTTACAATCGGCTCACATGATTCAAAACTAAAAATCCACTGCGGGCTCACCATAGCCCGTGCTACTTGGAACTTTGCGTTCCGGGTAGCGAATCTTAAACAGCAACAACACGATTCAAAATATTTACAAACAACAACAACAACAACAAACACAATATGCAGTGTTTTGAAAAGGGGGATTGAGAACATAAGCGAATATTATTGAAGACTAACACTGTACACAGTAAACCATGACACTATACACAGTACACCACAGTAACGCACAAATTTCGAACGAAACGATAATAAAAATAATAACGAATGAAACAGTAAAATACGTTAACAATCATCACTAATAAAGCAGGAACAACATTTAACAACGAAATGAACATATTCTCTAGAGATATACAGCACGTTATTAATGCCTCAGAATTGTGGGACATTTTTACCCACTATATCAATATTATCTAAGAAATGTATTATTTCTTAGAATGTATTATTTATAGAATTAAATAAATTGATATCATATCTAAAGCATAACAAAATCATATTAAAATCATATCGGAATCACTACAGATTCATTATATATTTGGATCCTACATGACAATGCCACCTATGATCACGTACACCATAGGGTCCTATAGGTGCCTACGAGACTTTGAGCATGATTTCTCAAAGTTCTAGAACCTACGAGAAGAATATCTTAATTAAAAAACTATTGGAACAATTCAATCGATTTCCCGTACGGATTAAATCAAATCCTTAATAAGAATCAGTAGTGCTAGCAAGTACTACTTATAATCTTTAAATTTTTTGAGATATATACAAGAGTTGTTACATTCTTGTAGAGCCACTAGTACGCGTAGCATTTCGGGCAGGTCCCTGGAATACGATCCCCGCCGCGAAGAATCGTTGTTACAACCATTTTAACGTTGTAACGTTGTTGTAACGTTGTTGTTGTAACGTTGTTACAACACATTTTACTGTTGAGTTAAACAGAGGCTACAGTTAAGGACTTGCGCCCAGTAAATCCTCCCCGGCTAGGATACGAACCCATGACATAGCGCTCGCGGAACGCCAGGCGAGTGTCTTACCACTACACCACGGAGACTGCTTTGTAAAGGACACCATAATAACATATCTTTATCACCAGTGATTACTCTCTAGAACTGGGGGAGTACCTGGACATTATATCTACAAGAAAAATTCCTTGAACTTTATCTAAATAAGTGTATAGATAGAGTGGAACTCACTCACAAAGTGACGTTGTTTCCACCTCCACCATCACCTATCTCAGCCTACTGCAAACACAATTTAGGACATAATTAGCAACGCTACCAGAACATTACAGCAAATCTGTGATATAAAATATCGTACCTAAACGCTACAAGAGAGTTATCCAGTCTGGTCACTTGTCAGACAGGCACCCGGCACTCAGTCATAAGTATATTGAATGTTATTTGGTGTATTAATTGGCCAATTGTATGCTTGTGTAACTTTAATATATACAATAAGTCTGTCTGTGGTTAAAGGGTGAGGCAACGCCTCATATTTCAGTGAGTATTCATTAATCTTGCAGCGACTGAAACTCTTCCGAGTCCCTGAATACTTGTGAGATTTATAACCTCGTGAGTGTCCCTGGTCTGGGAAGAATCCAGTCTAGTTGACTGAATCTCTTCACATAGATTATATACTTAAACATATAAATTAAGTTAACAATTGGTTGCTTAGTTATCTTTAATTTATAATATAGGTTTAATCTAATTGAATATAATCTTTTGTACTTAGTTAACAGTACTTAGACCACATTTAAGGTCATTTGATTGTATATTCATATCATACTCCTACAATATAAATTGTTGTATTTATAGCATAAGAATATATTGGCTGTTATAGTTATGATGCTAGGCTGGACTGTATACATGTTTAAATTCCTGATTTAGACAGAACCAGTGTTCAGTTATAGAACTGTATTATTAAATGTTATCCTTGTATTAACAATACAAGCTGATGTGAGATACCTGTCTGCAGGTGGACTGTAGGTGTTCAGTCAACTTCTCCATTCATCCTAAGAGACTCCCACCTGTCCCTTACAACCCACAGTCTGTCATTAGGGAAAAAGAGGAGCTGGGATTTTTTACCCTAGCTAGAGACTTTAGTTGAATTAATTTTGCATTACAGTAATTTTTAATTTAGTACAGTACAAGTCCCTAGTAGTTCTCCTCTTAAATTAATAATCATGTCAGGTTTTCTGACACAAATAATGCAACTGAAAATATAACCTCCCCCCCTCCCCCACATTAGTGAAAAGACGTTTCAGTCCATCTTTGACCGCACCTATTTTCATCTCACGTGTGGAGTATGGATAATGTGCTGTAATTTATCCCTTCAAAATGTGTTAACTCGTGTTAACTTTCTCCGTAACCCAGGTTAACAGCCAGCTACGATCGAAACGTCAGACCTCATGACCCAAACATCGCAGACAGGAACCCACTTATCTTATAGAGTTACACCCACACCCTCCTTCCCCAAGGGCGAGGCTCTCCGGATTGTCACCCAACACTGTTTAACTTACAGACGAGATCGTACAGAAATCGAGAATTTTAGAAGTAGAAACATTTCGGAACCCCTGACTAATCAGGCCACCAGCAGCCCCTGGTGTACTTTATGACCCCTGACACAGCAGGACACCGCCAGCCCCTGGTGTGTGTACTTGCCTATACAAGCATGGGTCAAATGTTACCTCCCAATACCTGATTTTGATACTATTGGTCACCTGCAAGAACACGCGTTCATGCAGCCATGAGAGGCTACAAGAACGCGCATTCTTGCAGCCATGAGAGGCTACAAGAACGCGCATTCTTGCAGCCATGAGAGGCTACAAGAACGCGCATTCTTGCAGCCATGAGAGGCTACAAGAACGCGCATTCTTGCAGCCATGAGAGGCTACAAGAACGCGCATTCTTGCAGTCTCTGACACACTTGTACCCTCAGCGCGGCCCGGGCATGTGCCAGAATTTGATGACAAACTATCCCCCAAATTGAACCACGAGTATCGCCGGGGGTTGAATAGTCCTGGAGCTTAGTTTGTACCAGGACTACCCAATTCCTATAGAGTATCATTAGCCAGGTGGTCACAGTACTGTGTGTACGTTTAGGGGTGATCCTGAGCGGCAGGGGATTCGAATCCTGGTCGGAATTTAGAGTTGTTAGTGATCTGGAAAGTTACAGGCAGAGGTAGCCATACCACGGGAGGCAGACTTCAAATCTTGCACTAGTAAAATACGCAAAAAAATGATTAAGTAAACAATGCAACTGTGTAAAGAACTTACCGTACCGTTGACCAGACCACACACTAGAAGGTGAATAGACGACGTTTCGGTCCGTCCTGGACCATTCTCAAGTCGATTCTCACAATCAACTTGAGAATAGTCCAGGACGGACCGAAACGTCGTCGTCCCTTCACCTTCTAGTGTGTGGTCTGGTCAACATACTTCAGCCACGTTATTGTGACTCCTCGCCTGCTTACCGTACCGCTTAAGTAAAGCTCACAAGTCTCTCGCTCACCAGATGTGGAGGTCCAGTGAGGGTGTGGGTCTTGCCCGACCCCGTCTGGCCGTAGCAGAAGACGGTGCAGGAGAAGCCGTCGATGGCCATGTCCAGGACCCGCTTGACTCCGGAGTGCTCGAGGACGTCCTCCTGCGTGGCCTCTGGCTCGAACACCACGTTGTAAGAGAAGACCTTCGGCTTCTGCGTCGCTTGTCCGTTCACGCCGTCCATGTTCACCTGTAGACGGAGGACAGAATAATTGTGGTGAGTGGGGACAGGAGAGAGGGACGAAGAGAGGAATTAGCAAGACAGACAAAAATGAAGAAATACATCACATTAATTATAGGAATTACACAGTATACACATCACAGGAATGTCCACTAGCAGAACCAACTGACAGCGAAAGGTCAGTTTCAACAATAAAACCAAGCAAATCCACCTTTACCTGAACATTAACCATAGAGTCAGCCGTCGCACTAAGACCCAGAGGGAAGGGGGTGCTCCCCCACAAGATTATTACAATAAATCACGATCACGAACCCCGGTCACCTTGAGATACGACCACGAGTCGCATGCGGGTAGCATGGACCACCACCTCCCCCCCAGCACGCCCTAATATAACCCTATACCTTATCCTGGCGTCGAATGCCGCGTTCTGTCGCGGCCTGACATCGAGGTTTGCGCGCCATGTTGTCTGCGTCTCTCTTGGGTCCACGGACACAAAGAAAATGGGAATTAGAAGGAAAGAGCAAAGCCTAGAACGCAGCACTTTGAAGGGATAGGACAGACAACGACCTGGGATAGGACAGACAACGACCTGGGATAGGACAGACAAGCAGCTGGGGCAAGAGAACAGTCTGAAGGAACAGCACCAAATCATGTTCACTGGAGAGTTGTTCACCCTTCTATTTCACCAGTACGAGTGATCATATAAAAACATTAACGAGTATAAATTGAAGAGAACATGTGCAAATTATATCAATGTGAACAGCAGTAATTCCGCGCCTTCTGCAATGTGCTGATGAACACCATCTCTTAACAGTATGCAGGTGTGGAGAGGCTGGAGGCGAGCCTGGAGGCAGGCTTGCAGAGGCTACAGGTAGGCTTGCAGAGGCTACAGGCAGGCTTGCAGAAGCTACAAGCAGGGCTTGCAGAGGCTACAGGCAGGCTTGCAGAAGCTACAAGCAGGGCTTGCAGAAGCTGCAGGCAGGCTTGCAGAGGCTACAGGCAGGCTTGCAGAGACTACAGGCAGGCTTGCAGAGACTACAGGCAGGCTTGCAGAGACTACAGGCAGGGTTGCAGAGACTACAGGCAGGGCTTGCAGGGGCTGCAGGCAGGGCTTGCAGGGGCTGCAGGCAGGGCTTGCAGGGGCTGCAGGCAGGCTTGCAGAGGCTGCAGGCAGGCTTGCAGAGACTACAGGCAGGGCTTGCAGAGACTACAGGCAGGCTTGCAGAGACTACAGGCAGGGCTTGCAGAGACTACAGGCAGGGCTTGCAGAGGCTGCAGGCAGGCTTGCAGAGGCTGCAGGCAGGCTTGCAGAGGCTGCAGGCAGGCTTGCAGAGGCTGCAGGCAGGCTTGCAGAGGCTGCAGGCAGGCTTGCAGGGGCTGCAGGCAGGGCTTGCAGGGGCTGCAGGCAGGGCTTGCAGGGGCTGCAGGCAGGCTTGCAGAGGCTGCAGGCAGGCTTGCAGAGGCTGCAGGCAGGCTTGCAGAGACTGCAGGCAGGCTTGCAGAGACTACAGGCAGGGCTTGCAGAGACTACAGGCAGGGCTTGCAGAGGCTGCAGGCAGGCTTGCAGAGGCTGCAGGCAGGCTTGCAGAGGCTGCAGGCAGGCTTGCAGAGGCTGCAGGCAGGCTTGCAGAGGCTGCAGGCAGGCTTGCAGAGGCTGCAGGCAGGCTTGCAGAGGCTGCAGGCAGGGCTTGCAGAGGCTGCAGGCAGGCTTGCAGAGGCTGCAGGCAGGCTTGCAGAGGCTGCAGGCAGGCTTGCAGAGGCTGCAGGCAGGCTTGCAGAGGCTGCAGGCAGGCTTGCAGAGGCTGCAGGCCCTGCCTCCAAGCAACACCAGCTGTTGCCTCAATACCCCTAGTAATACCCGCCTATTAAGGCAATTCAAGGTAACTACCCTTCTGAACTGGTAATGGAGCATGCATATAATTACTGCATAATTACCGGGAATTAGGGGAGCGCGCTTGAAGATCAATTACCATGGTGCCATGGCTGAATAGAGGCACTCTATCTCTCCCATCATGGGAGTCTGAGTGGCACTCCACGCCTACCTATCAACAAGTTGTAGCCTATCAGAGGATGGGCAGAAAGCCTGTATGGCTCTCATCCCAATCCCCATTCAGGATGCAACCCACAACAGCTCTCTAACTCCCAGATACTCTACTGCTACGTGGACAGAGAAGCATAATAATATGTAAGGAATTGACTCACTCCGCCTAGGATTCGAACCCAAGACATATCGGTTGCGGAATGAATCCTCAAACCGCAGTGCTGTTGGATTTTGCTTTTCATATTGCACAAGATATCAAATCTAATCAAAGATTCCAATGCATATGAGGGGTTAACACCCCCCCCCACCAATATGGGGGGTGTTAACCCCCCAATATGTCGGGTTAATGACCTACATAATCCAATATGTAGGAGTAACACCTTCCCCCAAAATGTAGGCTTAATCTCCCCCAAATATGTAAGATTAACACCTTTAATATGTCGGGTTAATTAACACGACATATTAGGTATGTCCCACGATATGTATGTTACGTATTACGTATGTTATGTATTATGTATGTATACATATGTATGGCCCATGATATGTAAGGTTAACATCTCTATACATAACATGTCAGAACGTCAGACCTTGAAAACGAGTTTGTTTACGATCAATACAGTGATCATACATACTTTGTTCATATATTATGAACCCCATACCCATCCTGTGGGGTGGTAGTGGACCCCACACCCATCCTGTGGGGTGATAGTGGACCCCACACCCATCCTGTGGGGTGATAGTGGACTCCACACCCATCCTGTGGGGTGATAGTGGACCCCACACCCATCCTGTGGGGTGATAGTGGACCCCACACCCATCCTGTGGGGTGATAGTGGACCCCACACCCATCCTGTGGGGTGATAGTGGACCCCACACCCATCCTGTGGGGTGATAGTGGACCCCACACCCATCCTGAGGGGTGATAGTGGACCCCACACCCATCCTGTGGGGTGGTAGTGGACCCCACACCCATCCTGTGGGGTGATAGTGGACCCCACACCCATCCTGTGGGGTGATAGTGGACCCCACACCCATCCCTTGGGGCGACAGTGGACCCCACACCCATCCTGTGGGGCGATAGTGGACCCCACACCCATCCTGTGGGGTGATAGTGGACCCCACACCCATCCTGTGGGGTGATAGTGGACCCCACACCCATCCCTTGGGGCGACAGTGGACCCCACACCCATCCTGTGGGGTGATAGTGTACCCCACACCCATCCTGTGGGGTGATAGTGGACCCCACACCCATCCTGAGGGGTGATAGTGGACCCCACACCCATCCTGTGGGGTGGTAGTGGACCCCACACCCATCCTGTGGGGTGATAGTGGACCCCACACCCATCCTGAGGGGTGATAGTGGACCCCACACCCATCCTGAGGGGTGATAGTGGACCCCACACCCATCCTGTGGGCAAATGACCGTGTTCTTTGAACCCTGGGACCAAGAAGGAATTCTTGCAGGCGAAGAGTCACAATAACGTGGCTAAAGAATGTTGACGAGACCACACACTAGAAGGTGAAGGGACGACGACGTTTCGGTCCGTCCTGGACCATTCTCAAGTCGATTCTTGTGTGGTGTAAGGCGTTGTACCCTGTCGCGTGTTGGGACTGACGCGGGCGGCCATCACCTCACCTCTCTCACCTGAAACAGGTTTTCGTAGAAATCTCTTGCTGGACGTAATTTCGAAGCGCACGATATATTCACCTCACACAGTTCCCGGGGCGCCCATGCCGCCCTCTGGCACGTCCACACCGCCCTTTGGCACGCCCACGCCGCCTCATGTGTCGCTGCCTCACCACCGACACCCTCCTGCTTACGGTACATCACCAGCACACGGCGCACTATCATTGCGTGATCACCAGAAACAGTAAGACGAAGATTGGTTATGATCCAGTGGTGTTGACAGTGCCTTGTGGCAGTGCATGTTTGGCGTTATCATCAAGGTAAAACTTCGGCTGGGTGTACGCTACATCATCTGTATGCGTACGCCTACAGGCCCCTGTGTACGCCTACCAGGCCCCTGCGTACGCCTACCGGCCCCCTGCGTACGCCTACCGGCCCCCTGCGTACGCCTACCGGCCCCCTGCGTACGCCTACAGGCCCCTGCGTACGCCTACCGGCCCCCTGCGTACGCCTACCAGCCCCCTGCGTACGCCTACAGGCCCTTGCGTACGCCTACCGGCCCCCTGCGTACGCCTACCGGCCCCCTGCGTACGCCTACCGGCCCCCTGCGTACGCCTACCGGCCCCCTGCGTACGCCTACAGGCCCTTGCGTATGCCTACAGGCCCCCTGCGTACGCCTACAGGCCCCTGCGTACGCCTACCGGCCCCCTGTGTACGCCTACCAGGCCCCTGCGTACGCCTACCAGGCCCCTGCGTACGCCTACCGGCCCCCTGCGTACGCCTACCGGCCCCCTGCGTACGCCTACAGGCCCCTGCGTACGCCTACCGGCCCCCTGCGTACGCCTACCGGCCCCCTGCGTACGCCTACCGGCCCCCTGCGTACGCCTACAGGCCCTTGCGTATGCCTACAGGCCCCTGCGTACGCCTACAGGCCCTGCATACGCCTACAGGCCCTGCGTACCCCTACAGGTTCTGTGTACGCCTACAGGCCCTGCAGGCGTACGCAGGCCCCCCCCCCCCATCACAAGGTCTCGTCTTTCTCCAATTATACTTTTATGTTTTCAACTATAAATCTTTTTAATCTTTTGGCCCAACCGCTTCAACGGGGCGCTAGAAAATCAGCCGCGTGTCTTGCAAGTTCGGGGTTCGATCCCAGATGGCCGCAAAGGGGGTTAGGCACTGTTCCTTCCCCTCATTCTCACATCCTAGCTCCTTGTTCTAGCATCCTTTGCAAGTGCTATGTATTGGCCTAGTACTTTTTATTCTTCATTTCCTCCTCCCTGGTGGTGGTGTTTTCCCCTTTCCCTTTATGAGAGGGGAGTAGCCATACTCTCTCCCTTC